AATATTTTAATTATTAAGTAAATATATACTTAATATGGATTATATCTAAATTATAAAAATTTCATTAGTAAAGTCCTGCATCTACAGTTCTGTATAGTCACTCTCACCGTCACAGTCACAAGGCTCATCACACAAATACTAGTTTAAAAGATAAATATAGCATGTTGTGTTTTTTCTTCAAAGTGTAATTCTTAAATTTGTAATAATCTCTGTTTTTACATCTGTTCACAAAACTAGTATATAAAGTCATACATTATTGAGGTCTTTCTTTTTATTGATCATATATTTCAGGCAAACAACAGTATATTTGACAAAACAATCCTGATAGAAAATAGAGTTTCAGTTCAGTGGCCAGATCAACAATATGCCCACTATACCGGCTAGGCCCCCGCGGCCGACATGCCTACTTCCAGATCAGACGAGATCGGGCATCCTCAAGGTGGTAATTGGCCGTAAGCACGGGGTATGGAGTCAGCGTGCCTCCTGACCCCCTGCAGCAGCGGTCCTCTCCTCCCCAGAATGAGCGCTCAGGCCATTACAAAATCCGGGTCACAGTGTGCTGACCTAGAACATGCTGGCAGACGGACTGAAAGGAGTTGTGCAGCATTGAAGCAAATTGTGTGCACGTCTCCCTCCAACCTGATTAGCTTTTTGTATAGCTCACAGCATTCTCATTTTACAATTTAAAGGCCTCTGTGAGGAGGGAGGAGGGACAACAAACTACCGCAACAGCACGAATCCCAGAAGTTTCACAGTAATATACAGGGCCGAAAAGTCTAATCATGGTTTGATGGGGTGCACACATTGCTCAATGCTGCACACCACTCCTTTTCAGACCAGTCCTGGCACATGATCAGGTCACACACTGGAGACCCGATTTTGTAAAGGCCTGAGCGCATCATTTCTGGGGGAGGAGAGACCGCAGCCAGCAGGGTCCAAGGAGGCACCTGCTCCATACCACCCGTGCTTACGGCCAACCACCATAGGAGAATGCCGATCTCCGTCTGATCCTCGAAGCTAGGCAAGGACGGGCGCGGGGCCAGCCGCGTATAGTGGGCATATTGTTGATTGGCACTGAACTGAAACTCCTATTTTCTATACAGATTGTTTTGTCAAATACTCATCTGTGTTTGCCCTGAAAATATGATTCATACAAAGAAAGACTTCAATAAAGTAGTAGACGTTTATAATATATTTATTGTGAACATATGAAAAAAGAGATATTTACAAATTTAAGAAATACACTTAGAAGAAAAACAACACACCATGCATATCTTATCTTCTTAAACTAGTATTTGTGTGTGAGCTTGTGACGGGGACGGCTGAGAGCTGACTAAACGAACTGTAGAAGCAGACTTTACAAATGAATTAAATAATTATATAAAATCAAATTAAGTATATATTTACATAATAAATTAAAATATTTATAAACAGCATTATGACAGACAGGTATAATATAGTAACTATATACAATAGCACCAATAGACAGCAGAAATAGCTCATTATTACACGCCACCCTTCCTCACCTCGGTCATTAAAAAGGAGACTGCTGGAACATCTGCGTCTCATCCCCTGGTCCATGGTACAGGGAAGAATACTTTGCCGGGCAGTAGATGTATTTCCTGACCGACCAGGGAATTGTGTATGAATGTGAGGAGACTGGTCCCTGCTTCAGCTGCAGTTTGGCAGAAACCAGCACGTTTTCTCACCAGTGGAGGAGGAGGACTCATCACTCTACCTTTTCTTCTCCTGCCGGCTCATTCACTCTCTGCAGCGATGGCGCCTCCAGCTCTCTCTGCTGGCAGAACTCAGTTCCAAAAAGTCTCGGAATGGCATCCGGAGTTGGTCAAACCCTCTGTGCGATAGTGTTATAGACCTTGGTTGAGTCAGTAGAAATACCTGGTAGGACCCCGGCTGGTAAAACTCGTGGAAGGAGCTGCCATCCTCGCCCTCATATTTGGATTTTTGCTGGCCACAAACAGGCATTTCTTTGTGTGGGATTATTTGCTGGAGGCTGCTGCAGCTTATTACCCAAGATCCGCTCACAACCTTCTATATGGCCTCCTCAGACAGCGTTGACATGAGTCTGCAGCAAGGAGGAGGGGGGTTCACTGGCTGCAGGGGCATGGTGACAACAAGGCACAGTTCCGGCTTAACTGGCCTGCTGTGAGCGAAGTATATCCCCCACACTTCAGCCTTGTCTGAGGCATCACCTCCACCTCACTCCGCAACCAGAGTGGAGGGCGTACCTCCTTCATCAACACCGCCTCCCTCTGAGGAGCCCCGCACTCCCTCATGGACGGGTCGTCCCTGAACATCCTCGCCTTCCCCCCTCCGGAAGTCCTGCAGCAGGAAATCCACGTGGGCCCTTGAGAAAAATCACAGTGACCGGCCAAAGGAAAGAATGAAAGTCTTCAATAATTATTCCCTGTACAGGCCCACCCACATTCATGTTGCATTTTATTGACCATTTTACTGAACTACTTTCATCTCGAGTGCACAGATTTTGATAGTTTTAGTTATTACAGTTGGATTTTAAATTAATGTAATGTTGATAATGTTGAGACAGAAATGCAAAGGCGCTGCTTTCTTACTTGAGACCTTTGGTTTCATTCAGCACATGAGTGCCCCACCCACAGCAGGGGGCACACTCATGACCTGCAAATTACAAAGGGGTTAATGGTATCCAATGTTAATGTAGTAGATGATGCTTTTGTCCAGATCATTTTCTGTGTATTTTTTGACATGTTGTTTTTGCTAGCAACCCCAGCTGAATTTACAATTGCTTGAAGAAGACACAAACATGAAAACACAGGTGAACTGTTCATACCGGGAAAGCTAAATTTGAGTGAACTCCAGCTCTACTGTTGATAATTTGTCTAACTCTGTCACCACCAGTGTTCTGAATGTTCTGGACGCCACTGCTCCTGAGAGGTTTAAAAATAGTTACCAGTAATAAAAAGGCCCCATGGACTAAGGCAGACCGGTCAGGGCCCAGAAGCAAGAGTGCCGGAGGGCCGAACCGGAAGTGCGAAAGTTCCAATTTCCAGGGCGATTATGAAATCTTTAAAGAACACATGGGGTGAATTACCGGGTTCTACGAAGAACAAGCGAAATGTATTTTTCTGACATATTGGAGGCTTTTGCGTAACAATTTTCGTGTTATGTTTTCAACAGTTGTAGATTAACGAACCCCCCTGTAAAATTTCCCCTAGAATTTTCCTCTAAATCTAGGTGTAAATGATTCGCCACAGTTTATCGATGCACAAAGTACAACAAGGAATCAAAAACACTAATCACCGTCCACAGCACGTATAAACTATGCAACAGCCAGAGAAGCATTTTGAGCTAAACTCACTTTGCACCAGTTGATACTGAAACTGTCAAAAAGATAATCCATGAGTCCTGAGCTCCTCCACATGTAGCCTGGATATAATTGCCCTCTAAATTTCTGAAGTCCGTCCTGAGCAGTTTGTACCTTCACTGACAAAATAGTAAACCTGTCTCTGTCGTCAGGAACAATTCCTATGGCCCTAAAAAAGGCAGCAGTCATAAGACCTCACCTAAAAAATGAGCAGTCAGTAACCTGCGGAAGCTTCAGAAATTATACGCCACCATATCGAATCTGCCATTCAATTGGAAAAATACTTGAAAAATTGCCTCCCAACAACTTAGACTGAATTTTAAACAATTATAATCTTTTTGATATTCCATCTGGTTTTAGACCCACACCAAAATGTACAGTACCAGGGAAGCAAACACACACATGTTATTTAACACATGTCAGAGGGTCGAGCTCAAATAATCGTTCATTTTCAAGTAATGTTTTTGGGGGTTATTTGTGTGTGTTTCATTTGGATTGTCGCAAGACAGACACAGACACACACACAGACAGAGACACACAGACAGAGACACACACAGCCAGAGACACACACAGACAGAGACACACACACAGAGACACACACAGACAGAGACACACACAGAGACACACACAGACACACACAGAGACACACACCGAGACACACACATACACACACAGAGACACACACAGACACACAGAGAGACACACACAAAGACACACACAGAGACCCACACAGACAGAGAGACACAGACAGACATACACACACACACACACACACTCATTTAACCTGGGAAGCAAAAATACATTTAACAGTAGATTACGTTTTTAAATTTAAGAGGGTCTCAAATAACTGTCAATTTTCAAGGAATGTTTTTTTTTTGTGAGAATTTAATTTTCCATCCATCCATCCATTTTCTTCCGCTTTATCCGTTGCCGGGTCGCGGGGGCAGCAGTCTAAGCAGAGACGCCCAGACTTCCCTATCCACACACACTTCCTCCAGCTTGTCCGGGGGGACCCCAAGGCGTTCCCAGGCCAGCTGAGAGACATAGTCCCTCCAGCGTGTCCTAGGTCTTCCGCGGGGCCTCCTCCCGGTGGGACGTGCCCGGAACACCTCCCCAGAGAGGCGTCCAGGAGGCATCCGGAACAGATGCCCGAGCCACCTCAACTGGTTCCTCTCGACGTGGAGAAGCAGCGGCTCTACTCCGAGCTCCTCCCGTGTGACTGAGCTCCTCACCCTATCTCTAAGGGAGCGCCCAGCCACTCTGCGGAGGAAGCTCATTTCGACCGCTTGTATCCGCGATCTCGTTCTTTCGGTCATTACCCAAAGCTCATGACCATAGGTGAGGGAGGGAACGAAGATTGACCGGTAAATCGAGAGCTTTGCCTTTCGGCTCAGCTCCCTCTTTACCACAACGGTCCGATACAGCGACCGCATCACTGCGCACGCTGCAGAATTTAATTTGTCATTATTACAAATAGATTTCTATATTTCTTGCGTTGCCCTGAAACAAATAAATACTTTTGCATCTTCAAAACAAGGAGGTTGTGCATAATAATATATGTTATATAAAAACATATATTATTAACTACTGTCTTCTGTTTTGTGAGCGCTGGAACAGTTTGTTTGTCTTTCTGCAGGTTCAGCGTCGACGAAGGCCGGACGTGGACGGTGCACAACTTCACCAGCACCTCTGTGTTTGTGGACGGACTGCTGAGTGAGCCCGGGGACGAGACGCTGGTCATGACGTGAGAGAAATCTGTTTACACACTCTTTACACACTCTTTACACACTCTTTACACTCTCTTTACACACTCTTTACACTTTCTTTACACACTCTTTACACACTCTTTACACTTTCTTTACACACTCTTTACACACTCTTTACACTCTCTTTACACACTCTTTACACTCTCTTTACACACTCTTTACACTCTCTTTACACTTTCTTTACACACTCTTTACACTTTCTTTACACACTCTTTACACACTCTTTACACACTCTTTACACTCTCTTTACACTTTCTTTACACACTCTTTACACACTCTTTACACACTCTTTACACTCTCTTTACACTTTCTTTACACACTCTTTACACTTTCTTTACACACTCTTTACACACTCTTTACACACTCTTTACACTCTCTTTACACTCTCTTTACACTCTCTTTACACACTCTTTACACACTCTTTACACACTCTTTACACTCTCTTTACACTCTCTTTACACACTCTTTACACACACTTTACACACTCTTTACACACACTTTACACACTCTTTACACACTCTTTACACACTCTTTACACACTCTTTACACACTCTTTACACACTCTTTACACACTCTTTACACTCTCTTTACACTCTCTTTACACACTCTTTACACTCTCTTTACACTCTCTTTACACACTCTTTACACACTCTTTACACACTCTTTACACACTCTTTACACACTCTTTACACACTCTTTACACTCTCTTTACACACTCTTTACACTCTCTTTACACTTTCTTTACACACTCTTTACACTCTCTTTACACTCTCTTTACACACTCTTTACACACTCTTTACACTCTCTTTACACACTCTTTACACACTCTTTACACACTCTTTACACTCTCTTTACACACTCTTTACACACTCTTTACACACTCTTTACACACTCTTTACACACTCTTTACACACTCTTTACACACTCTTTACACACTCTTTACACACTCTTTACACTCTCTTTACACACTCTTTACACACTCTTTACACACTCTTTACACACTCTTTACACACTCTTTACACACTCTTTACACTCTCTTTACACTCTCTTTACACACTCTTTACACTCTCTTTACACTCTCTTTACACACTCTTTACACACTCTTTACACACTCTTTACACACTCTTTACACACTCTTTACACACTCTTTACACTCTCTTTACACACTCTTTACACTCTCTTTACACTTTCTTTACACACTCTTTACACTCTCTTTACACTCTCTTTACACACTCTTTACACACTCTTTACACACTCTTTACACACTCTTTACACTCTCTTTACACACTCTTTACACTCTCTTTACACTCTCTTTACACACTCTTTACACACTCTTTACACACTCTTTACACACTCTTTACACACTCTTTACACACTCTTTACACTCTCTTTACACACTCTTTACACACTCTTTACACACTCTTTACACACTCTTTACACACTCTTTACACACTCTTTACACACTCTTTACACACTCTTTTTACACTCTCTTTACACACTCTTTACACTCTCTTTACACACTCTTTACACTTTCTTTACACACTCTTTACACACTCTTTACACTCTCTTTACACACTCTTTACACACTCTTTACACACTCTTTACACACTCTTTACACACTCTTTACACACACTTTACACACTCTTTACACACTCTTTACACACTCTTTACACACTCTTTACACACTCTTTACACACACTTTACACACTCTTTACACACTCTTTACACACTCTTTACACACACTTTACACACTCTCTTTACACTCTTTTACACTCTCTTTACACACTCTTTACACTCTCTTTACACACTCTTTACACACTCTTTACACACTCTTTACACACACTTTACACACACTTTACACACTCTTTACACACTCTTTACACTCTCTTTACACACTCTTTACACACTCTTTACACACACTTTACACACTCTTTACACTCTCTTTACACACTCTTTACACATTCTTTACACATTCTTTACACACTCTGAGAACGATTCGTGAAGGTTTGAGTCTGTTTCCTGGGTTCAAGAAGCCGTCGCTCTGACAGTCCCCACTGGAACTGGACACACAAACCAGAGCGAGACAAGAGAGAGACCAGAGCGAGACAAGAGAGAGACCAGAGAGAGACCAAAGAGAGACAAGAGAGAGACCAGAGAGAGACCAAAGAGAGACAAGAGAGAGACCAGAGAGGGAGGGGCTGATTGCACAGACTGGTTGCCTCGCTTTTTTCAGTGTGCCTCAGGGCAGCTGTGGCTACAGTAGTAGTTTATCACCACCGTGTATGGAGTGAATGAATAATCGCATGTGTAGTGTCTTTGAATGTCAACAAAAGCGTTATATTAAAACCAATGCATTATTATTATTATTATTAGTATTATTATTTATATTCGATTACCAAAGTCATGATATTCTCTGTAAGCCCTGGCTTCTGGACAACATGAGAAACAACATGTGGAACTTTGTCGGAGATGACTTTTTAATTCTTGTGGATTGTTCCCGGAAATAGTTGTAAATCTAACTTTTGACAGTTACCATAGTTACCAGCAAAAAGGCCTCAGCTGCCGTCTTCCCATCTTCCATAAGAGTTTGTCTGCTGTTTACTTGGCTCAGTCCCATCAGCAACCTCTCGTCCTTCTTGTCGTGGAGCTTTCGTCGCGTCCCACTCCTTCATATTTCATTACAAGACGTCAATAAACACGGTGGCCTCTGGCGGTGCAATCATCTTTTACTTTATTAGCTTGTTAGCGTAGCCCTGAGTGGCAGATATTGGCAGGTTGTAATATTTCATAATAAAGAAAGCAGAGATTATTGACACCCATGAAGTGAATGCATTATGATGATACATGGTCGCATCCCAAATACACATTGTTTAATTGATTTTGTAGATGTCTTTATATCAATGCAGGGGTTTTATCAGAGGGAATAGATCAGAATGGATAGTTTTTCATTCAAACTTCTATTATAGCCGTTACATTACTTTGTATTATGATTAGGTTAAAATTCTAGCCCCGTGTAATGTTTTTAAAGCACAAAATATGGAATGAAATCCATGTATTTCAGTTGTATCACTAGTTTTTACATGTATTTTTGGTTCGGTCACAGCCATAGATCAGCTTTTTCAGACAGAAACGTGACAAAGAGAGGACCACTCCCTCTCAGCCAATCAGCTCTCAGCCCAAAGAGGCAAGTAGTGACTCACAGGGTTCTTTCTTACAAGTAATTATGGGAAAAAAAGTGAAGACAGCTTACTTACCTTTTATGAAAATCAGACAATTCTCTTGGGAATTTAATGTTATTATATTTTGGGTACCACACATTTTATATGAAACGTCTCTCTTTTTTTCTAGCATGACTGTCTTTATCTAGACAAGTTTAACTAACGTTTTTCTACCTTTTGTCAGGCTTTGCTGCCCTCTAGTGGACTGTGGCAGGAAAGATATTGGCAATAATATACTTCATCATGCATGTCAAAAAAGTATTTTACACAGATCTCTATTGCTCTAATACATACCTTAGTGAAAGTCATTTTTGCATTGAAAAACAAGTTTTTCAAAAGAAAGTTTGTATCAGTATTGAGTTAAAAAAAAGTCGAAATATCTTCCTCTCCCACCAGCTTCTTCAGATTAGATGGTTTGAGCAGTAATCCTCTCTCACACACACACACACACACACACACACACACACACACACACACACACACTGTCTCTGGACTGACTCTGGAACCAACACTGTGAGAAGGATTAAAGCTGTACTTGTAACTTTCCTGCAGAGTTACTCTGACATTTTGTATCAGGGCTTTTTGAAGTTTAGGCCTGGGTGTTTTTTATTTTATTTTGTTTATTTTCTATCTTTTTTATGGTTGATATCTAGATTTTGTTGATACAATAAGTCAAGACGCTTGCGACAAGGCGCCTTCAACTTTATACAATATATCTCCAATGGATTCAGTAGTATTCATTAAAGGTTTTCAGCCCCTTATCTGCTGCTATCTGCTGCATCATCCCCTTTTTTTATTGAAAATCAATTGTTGAAATATCCTCTCAGCCTCATGTCTCTGTTTGCAATGTGTGGGTCTATTACAAAATATCAGTATTTTTAAAAAAATCCAAATTTTGTTATGAAATTACACCTAATACTACTACTGCTACTACAACTACTCCTACTTCTACCACTACACCTACTTTTCTCCTATCTTTGGTAAACAAGATAATCCAAACATCAGAGGCAGAAATGATCGTGTAGATGACATTTTGACCCTGGTCCCTGTGATCCGCAGAGTGTTCGGACACATCAGTTACCGCTCAGACTGGGAGCTCGTCAAAGTGGACTTCAGACAATCCTTCCCTCGTCAGTGCACCGAGGAGGACTACGAATCCTGGCAGCTCACCGACCTCCAGGTATCACATCAAACACATTCAAAAACAAGAACAAAACATGTACAATAATTGGTTGGTGTTACCCGCAGGGAGAGAAATGCATCATGGGACAGGAGAGGAGCTTCAGGAAGAGGAAGGACTCGTCTTTTTGCATCAAAGGGAAGAGCTACACGTCGGCTCTGAGCACGAAACCATGTCAGTGCACCGAGAGAGACTTCAACTGGTGAGAATTCAACTGCTTTACATTGGAGTTATACATGGGGTGCCCCAAGGGTCGACACTCGGACCTATACTGTTCAATGATATCATCGTCTGTTTTTGTCTAGTTGGTTGTTTATTTATATCTGACATATCTTACACATTACAATGAAACTTATTGCCTTAAAGAAAAGAAAAGAAAGGTTAAAAAGGAGATTGCGTTTACATATGTTGGTCCTTCTCACTTTAACTGGGCCGAGTCTGGTTCAAATGCTTCTATTGTTTCAAAAGAGAGACACTGTGGACACATGTTCACTTGTTTGGTGATTTCACTTCCAAAAACAGTAGATTTTTTGCCCCAAGTGAACTAGAATTGGTTTGGTTAAAGCAAACCTTTTCAGAAATGTGATAACTCACTAATAGGGCTGGGCAATCTGGAGAATTTGATACACGGTATGCTCAAAACAAAAATTTCAATTCAAGTATTTTTTGTACAACCTAAACCACTAGTTATCTCGGACGACTTTTTACTGAGCTGTTGATTCACCAAAACAGATCAGAGAATCAATCAGTTCAAACACAGGAAATGTAATGATAAAAACACACAGAGTCGAGGGTCAGATGATGAACGTCCATAAATGGTATTGCTAAAGTTCATAAAAATATACAACCAACATTTGTTGCTCCCGTTAGACTCACTCCTTTAATACTATAAATCCATCTGCAGCGACTATGGCTTTGAGCGCTCCCAGACTGAAGGCCACAGATGCTTCGCTGACTTCTGGTTCGACCCTGATGCCCCGCCAGACGACTGTCATCTGGGGAGGAGCTACGAGTCCGGCACCGGGTCAGTCGCTGCGGCAACAGCACATCACTTCCTGTTTACTTCAGCTCGACACTCACTGTTGGAAATGGTGGTGCAGGTACAGAAAGGTGATCTCCAACTCGTGTGAAGGAGGCGTCAACAAACAGCAGAGCTCCAAGCAGCACTCCTGCCCTCTGCTGCCCCCTAGAGGACTGCAGCTGGGCATCAAAGGACAGATGCTGACTGTGGCGCCCTCTGATGACATCACATTCATCGTCCACCAAGAACAGGTCAGTATGTAACTGTACTATCAACCCAGCTTGACATGAAGAATAAAGGTTCTTTTATCTTTTTTTGATATAAGGATTATATTTTGTGTTAATATAAGTTTGCATTGTATTTTCTGGTAGGTATGTCTCAAAAAAAGGAGTTCAGTTGGTTTTGATAGCTCGAAACTGTAAAAGACTGTAATTGTGGACTGACTGATGATTTCTGAATACATCTTGGGTTATAATTGTATAATAAATTGAATGATGTTGTTTTTATTTCTTGACAAAATGTTCTTTGAAATTAGCTATAACATGCCATGTTACCTCCTGCCACCAATGCTGCAAGTCAATCATCTCAGGGGCCACACAAAAGGATTTGCCGGGCTGCATTTGGCTCGCGGGCCTTGAGTTTGACACCTGTTTAAATGCCACCATTGTTCAGTTTGTTGCATGTTCTTCACTTCCTCTGGTGTGTTTGTGCTTGTGCTCAGGGCGACACCAGCAGCACTAAGTACCAGGTGGATCTGGGGGACGGGGTGAGGGCCATCTACCAGAACCTGACCGTGACCGACGAGCCCATCCAGCACCGCTACGAGAGTCCAGGGGTCTACAGGGTCAGCGTGAGGGCCGAGAACATGGCAGGACACGCACAGACCACCATGTACATCCAGGTCACAGGTACTACTACTACTACTACTACTACTACTACTACTACTTATCCTGTCGTAGGCTATCCATAAGCTGTAGCGTTAGCCTTAATTTGGAGGAAGCGTGAAGCTAGCTGTAGCCAATTTCCTTATATGGTTATTTGTTCTAGGGGGAGATGTGTTGCTAAGATGGTTGCTAAGGCCGGCTGGAGTTACCCCTGCGAATTAAGCGGAAACTTCAATTCAGTTCAATATATTTTTGTACAACCCTATATCACTTCGAGGACTTTACAAAGCAGTCGATTTGCCAACACAAAACAAAGAATCAAACCGTTTAAACACAAGGAATGCAAAAATAAAAAACCCATATATCCATTGGTCCATAAGGGGCTGAGACCCAAGCCCATAAATGTCCATCAGCAACAACAAATCAGAGAGTTTATAAAGACAATTCCAAAATATAAACATTAGGATTAGACCACAGATGTTGTAAGCCTGAGAAGGTGAAAGTATTATGTGTTTAATAAAGCACTTTTTTGAGACACCCAGAATTATGCTTTAGTTTCTTCTAGTATTTCCTTTGAGTTTTAATAAGCATTATAAAATACCATGTGTGTGTGTGTGTGTGTGTGTGACAGCGCCTCTGCAGGAGGTGCACTTGGAGGTGGTCCCCATCGCAGGAGTGAACCAGGAGGTGAACCTGTCTGCTGCAGTGCTGCCCGCCGAGGCCAACCTCACCGTCTTCTACTGGTGGATCGGAGACAACCTGCAGGTGAGGAGCACAGGGGTCAGAGCTGGGACTGTCATGTCAGAGTGAGGGAGGAGTTCACTGGGTTTATGGACAAAAACAGCTCTCTTATCAGGCCAGAGGCTCAAATATACTGCTCTGGCAAATACAGAGGATTTACAGAGGAAATATTGTTCAAAAGTGCATCTTCTGTCACACAACTCATATGACCGACTCGACACATTCAAAGTGAGTAGTGTAACCTTTATGTGGATGATAATTATCACAGCTGTAAAAATCAAACAGTTCAAGGAAATGCAATAGTCCTTGGTCCATAGGGAGCGGGATGATCAGTGTCCTGAAATGTTGCTAATAATAATGTTCTTAGATCCATGTATTTGAACTAAAAGTATTGTTGTTGCAGTGAAATATTTCTACTATTTCGTCCAATGCCTTATCATTGTTCTGTATATTGTTTGTTTTTATGTTTTGCAGTATGAAAAATTAATACGTTTTAAATACTTTCGTACTTACTATTTCCAATGCTTCAGTTCTGCCATTGTCTTGTATGTTTCTGTCTTGTTTTGTTGACTGTGCTCTACAAATAGACTTGCCTTCCCTTACCAATAGTTTTGCCAGTGGCACGGTAATGTGAGAGTGTGTCCTGTGTGTGCAGCCCGTCCTCAGCCTCCAGAGCAGCCTGCTGACCCGCTTCTCTGAGGCTGGAGAGGTGTCCGTCACTGTGCAGGCCTCCAACGGCCGCTCCATGGTCCAGGACACTCAGACGGTCCGGGTCTACGGTGAGTCCTCCTCTGTCTGTCAACTCAAACACTCTCTCGGATACCTTTGACCATGTGGTGTATAAGATCAGATAGATAGACAGACATAAAGACTGAGAGATAGACAGACAAACAGACAGACAAAGAGACTGAGAGATAGACAGACAAACAGACAGACAAAGAGACTGAGAGATAGACAGACAAACAGACAGACAAAGAGACTGAGAGATAGGCAGACAAACAGACAGACAAAGAGACTGAGAGATAGGCAGACATAGAGATAGAAGATAGATAAATAGAACTAGATAGATAGATAGACAGACTGAGAAATACATAGACAGACAGACAGACTGATAGATAGATAGATAGATTGTCTGTCTGTCTGTCTATCTGAGAGACAGACAGACAGACACAGAGACTAAGATTAAGACAGCGCGCACTCGCAGAGCAAGTACTGTGTATGGAACGCTTATACCCGGACTCTCTGATTATTATCCTGGGGGATTTTAATAAGGGAAACTTGAGCCAGGAATTACCCAAATACAGACAGTTTATCAAATGCCCGACCAGAGAGGAGAACACTCTGGATCACTGTTACACCACCGTGCGCGGAGCTTTTCGCGCTGTTCCCAAGCCAGCCCTCGGCTTCTCAGATCACTCCATGATACATCTGGTTCCTGCTTACAGACAGAGACTAAAGCTCTCGAAACCTGCAGTGAGGAGCTCCAAAGTGTGGTCTGATGAAGCTGTGGAAGAGCTACGCGCATGCATGGAATCTACAGACTGGGACCTTTTCAGAGCTGCCACAGACAGCTTGGATGAATATACGGACACTGTGACGTCATACATCCACTTCTGTGAGGATAGCATCATTCCAACAAGGACCAGGGTCATCTATAACAACGACAAACCCTGGTTCACTGCTAAACTCCGGCAGCTCAGGAAAGCAAAGGAGTCTGCTTTCAGGGAGGGGGACCGCAGCGGCTACAAAGCAGCTAAATATCAGTTCAGGAAAGAACTGAAAGCAGCCAAGTCCCGGCACAGAGAACGACTACAGGAGCAGTTTGGTAACAACGATACTGCTTCTGTCTGGAGGGGCCTACGGGAGATCACCAACTACAAACCCAAAGCCCCCCCCTGTGCTGATGACCACAAGCTAGCTGACGATCTGAACTTATTTTTCAGTCGCTTTGATGCTGCCCCTGACACCTCTCCCTCCCCCACCCCCCACTACTCTAACGACCCACCCATCAGCCCTGCCCCCAGCCTAACAATAGCCGCTAAAGAGATTAAACAACTCTTCCTGAGGCTGCACCCCCGCAAAGCTCCTGGCCCGGACCACGTGTCTCCGGCCACTCTGAGACACTGCGCCAGTGAGCTTACTCCTGTGTTCACGGACATTTTCAACACCTCTCTGCAGTCCTGCCATGTCCCGGCCTGCTTCAAATCCTCCATCATTGTCCCCGTCCCGAAGAAGCCCAGGATCACAGGACTCAATGACTACAGACCTGTAGCACTTACGTCTGTCGTCATGAAGTCATTTGAACGCCTGGTTCTCTCCCATCTCAAGTCCCTCACCTCCCCCCTCCTGGACCCCCTGCAGTTCGCCTACAGAGCCAACAGATCTGTAGACGACGCCATTAACCTGGCCCTCCACCACATCCTACAGCACCTGGACTCCCCGGGGACCTACGCCAGGGTCCTGTTCGTGGACTTCAGCTCTGCCTTCAACACAATCCTGCCATCCCTGCTCCAGGACAAGCTCTCCCAGCTCAACGTGCCCGATTCCACCTGCAGGTGGATCACTGACTTCCTGACGGACAGGAAGCAGCGAGTGCGTCGGGGAAGAATGTCTCGGACTCTCGGATTATAAATACAGGAGCCCCACAGGGCTGTGTTCTTTCTCCCCTGCTCTTCTCCCTGTACACCAACCACTGCACCTCCAGCCACGACTCCGTGAAGCTGATCAAGTTCGCGGACGACACCACCCTCATTGGACTCATCTCCAACAACGATGAGTCCGCCTACAGGAGGGAGGTGGACCGGCTGGTGTCCTGGTGCAGTGGTAACAACCTGGAGCTGAACGCCCAGAAGACAGTGGAGATGATTGTGGACTTCAGGAAGAGCACTGTCCCCCCGCCCCCACCCTCCGTGATGGACTCCCCCATCACCTCTGTGGAGTCCTTCCGTTTCCTGGGCACCACCATCACCCAGGACCTCAAGTGGGAGCCGACCATCAGCTCCCTCATCAAGAAGGCCCAGCAGAGGATGTACTTCCTGCGGCAGCTCAGGAAAGCCAAGCTGCCTGCACAGATGTTGGTGCAGTTCTACACGGCCATCATCGAGTCCATCCTCACCTCCTCCATCACCGTGTGGTTCGCTGGAGCCACAGTCAGGGACAAACAGAGACTACAGCGCATTGTGCGCTCTGCAGAGGAAGTGATCGGCCGCAGCCTTCCATCGCTGCAGGACCTGTACGTCGCCCGAGCTCGAGGCCGGGCTGGTCGTATCACAGCCGACCCCTCTCACCCTGCACATGGACTATTCCAACCACTCCCCTCAGGCAGGAGGCTGCGGTCCATCAGGACTAGAACCTCCCGCCACAAGAACAGTTTCTTCCCCTCTGCTGTTGGACTCTTGAACACTTCTTAACCTGTCCCCCCGCCCTTTATAAAGTCACTTTACTGCCCATCATACGTCACTTTACTTCACTGTACTGCTGTCACCTTACATTGTGTGCACCATGTGCACTTGTATATTGTAAATAGTAACTGTAACTCTATTTTAAATTTAAATTTATTCTTTAGAAGTTTTTTTATTCTTATTTTTATTATCTCTTTTTGACTGTTGCACTGAGCCAAAGCAATTTCCAAGTCTGTGACCTCCCGTTACTTACGTTGGCAATAAAAATGATTCTGATTCTGATTCTGAGACAGATTGATGGATAGACAGACAGACAGACAGACTGAGAGATAGAATATAGAGAGATAGATAGATTGTCTGTCTGTCTGTCTGTCCATCTGAGAGACAGACAGACAGACACAGAGACTAAGAGACAGATTGATAGATAGACAAACAGACAGACAGACATATTGACTGACTGACTGATTGACAGACAGTTAAATGTCTTGTGTCTTGTTTCAGAGCACTTCCAGGTGATCCCGCTCAGCTTCAGTTCGAACCTCGACCACTACAACCCCAACATCCCCGAGTGGAGGCAGGACGTGGGGCAGACGGTCACCAGGATCCTCTCCAGGGTAAGACGCTGTTGCCTTTTGTATGAACTGTGCTATACAATAATACTTCTCTTGCCCACTTGCGGAGGCAGCAGTCTAAGCAGCGGCCCTCACACTTCCCTCTTTTGTTTTGTGTATTATTACTACCAAGTGTAGTTTAGTCTTTGATAATGCGGGAGATTTAGATCAGTCTGTGGAAACCGGACACTCTTTTCTTTTCTTCTTCTTCTCTGTACACTCACCTGGTCTCTCCTGTGTGTCCAGATCACGGGGGTCCCTCAGGAGTCTCTGGTCACCGTGGTGAAACCGGGGCTCCCCACCTCCGCCGACCTGTACGTACTTCCACGAGACCAGCAGCCGGTCAAACAGAGCCGCTTCGGAGACAAGGTTCAGCTCTCTGCCTCTGCATGTTAGAGATCGTCACCATGAAGCTCCCAGATATATTTACCACATTTAGAACTACATTAAAACCAATGGGTGTCGGAGTGCGTGGACCCACCCTTTGGAACAACTTAACAGATAAATGACAGACTCAATTCAAAACCTAGCATCAAATCTGTGAAATCTGAGCTACTTTTTTGTTTGGTTTTTTGAGTTTGGACAATTCACAATAGATAGATATATAGATAGATACTTTATTAATCCCTGTAGGAAAAATGTAAAACCATGACCATCGACAAACAAAACAAATAAATTGGTCATTCTAAAAAGCTAACAAAAATACTGATAATAAAAATAAATGATTAAGAGAGATTAAGAAACATGGAGAGGGATTAAGAATAAGTAACGATCATGTATGATTGCCCCATAGACTGTAAATATTAACGGCTGTAGTCACGCCTATCTCCGCCGTTCTTACTAATGTGCCACAACTTCTGCGGTCTATGGGCAGTTTCAAAATGGCAGCGGGGGCGGGAAAATGTGTAAAAACGCATCTGCGCATGCGTCAGCCGGCACGAGCTCCACAGATATACAGTACCTCCCGCTGAGACCAAACAACCCCGAAGACCCTGCTGCGTCGGCAAAGAACATGGAAAAGTGTGTTAATATTAAGATTAGTCCCAGTGGGGAAATTTCAGTGTTGCATTACAAGTTATAGAACAGTAGAAAAGAAGAGCACAAAGCACAGGATAAGTGAAAAATAGCTATAAATTTCAAATAAAACAAAATATCTAACTCTAGCATCAAAGAACAAGTATGAAATCTCTGTCTTGAACATAATAAATCAGTATAAACATTTTAGATTTGGCAAAATAAGAGGCAATTATAAAGTACTGTGTATTCTAGTGGCAGCAGTATGTAGTTATATGTTAGCATCCATCCATGTTAGCATCCATCCATGTTAGCATCCATCCATGTTAGCATCCGCCCATGTTAGCATCCATCCATGTTAGCATCCATCCATGTTAGCATCCATCCATGTTAGCATCCATCCATGTTAGCATCCGCCCATGTTAGCATCCATCCATGTTAGCATCCATCCATGTTAGCATCCGTCCATGTTAGCATCCATCCATGTTAGCATCCATCCATGTTAGCATCCGTCCATGTTAGCATCCATCCATGTTAGCATCCATCCATGTTAGCATCAGTCCATGTTAGCATCAGTCCATGTTAGCATCCATCCATGTTAGCATCCGCCCATGTTAGCATCCATCCATGTTAGCATCCGTCCATGTTAGCATCCATCCATGTTAGCATCCGTCCATGTTAGCATCCATCCATGTTAGCATCCATCCATGTTAGCATCCATCCATGTTAGCATCAGTCCATGTTAGCATCAGTCCATGTTAGCATCAGTCCATGTTAGCATCAGTCCATGTTAGCATCCATCCATGTTAGCATCCATCCATGTTAGCATCAGTCCATGTTAGCATCCATCCATGTTAGCATCAGTCCATGTTAGCATCAGTCCATGTTAGCATCAGTCCATGTTAGCATCCATCCATGTTAGCATCCGCCACTCCATACACGGTGGTGATAAACTACTACTGTAGCCACAGCTGCCCTGGGCACACTGACAGAAGCGAGGCAACCAGTATGTGCCATCGGCCCCTCCGACCACCACCAACCATTCACACACACACCAGACTCATTCTAGGCAATGGGGGTGAAGTGTCTTGCCTAAGGACACAACGGCAGTTTGGCACTTTACAGCCACAGACGCCCCACTGTGGCATCTGGTGTTCCCAGAGGTTAAGTGTCTTGCCAAGGACAAAACGACAGCAGACAGTGGGAGTCGATGGTGAAAGTCTTGAGCGGGGCTTGAACCCACGACCTTCTGGCTCAAAGGCCAAAGCTCTACCAACTGAGCTACTGTCGCCATGTTAGCATCCATCCATGTTACAGTAGCATCCGCCCATGTTAGCATCAGTCCATGTTAGCATCCATCCATGTTAGCATCCGCCCATGTTAGCATCCGCCCATGTTAGCATCCGTCCATGTTAGCATCCACCCATGTTAGCATCCGTCCATGTTAGCATCCGTCCATGTTAGCATCCATCCATGTTACAGTAGCATCCATCCATGTTAGCATCAGTCCATGTTAGCATCCGTCCATGTTAGCATCCATCCATGTTAGCATCCATCCATGTTAGCATCAGTCCATGTTAGCATCCATCCATGTTAGCATCCGTCCATGTTAGCATCCGTCCATGTTAGCATCAGTCCATGTTAGCATCAGTCCATGTTCTGAGTGGAGTTTGCATGTTCTCCCCGTGTCTGCGTAGGTTTCCTCCTGGTACTCCGGTTTCCCCTACCACTAAAAATATGTACAATAGGTCTGGCATGCGCCTCCTGTTCGGCGACCCCGCTCCCGTCTCTGTGGAGTGAGAGACAAGTGCCCAAAAAAAAAAAAAAACACAAAAAAAACAAAATAACAATTGTAAACCGCTTTGTGACTCTGGTCTGTGAAAGGCGGTATATAAATAAAGATTACTTACTTAGCATCCGTCCATGTTAGCATCCATCCATGTTAGCATCCGCCCATGTTAGCATCCATCCATGTTAGCATCCATCCATGTTAGCATCCGCCCATGTTAGCATCCATCCATGTTAGCATCCATCCATGTTAGCATCCGCCCATGTTAGCATCCATCCATGTTAGCATCCGTCCATGTTAGCATCCGTCCATGTTAGCATCCACCCATGTTAGCATCCGCCCATGTTAGCATCAGTCCATGTTAGCATCCATCCATGTTAGCATCCGTCCATGTTAGCATCCGCCCATGTTAGCATCCATCCATGTTAGCATCCATCCATGTTACAGTAGCATCCGTCCATGTTAGCATCCATCCATGTTAGCATCAGTCCATGTTAGCATCCATCCATGTTAGCATCCATCCATGTTAGCATCAGTCCATGTTAGCATCCATCCATGTTAGCATCAGTCCATGTTAGCATCCATCCATGTTAGCATCCATCCATGTTAGCATCAGTCCATGTTAGCATCCATCCATGTTAGCATCAGTCCATGTTAGCATCCATCCATGTTAGCATCCGTCCATGTTAGCATCCATCCATGTTAGCATCAGTCCATGTTAGCATCCATCCATGTTAGCATCCATCCATGTTAGCATCAGTCCATGTTAGCATCCATCCATGTTAGCATCAGTCCATGTTAGCATCCATCCATGTTAGCATCCGTCCATGTTAGCATCAGTCCATGTTAGCATCCATCCATGTTAGCATCCACCCATGTTAGCATCAGTCCATGTTAGCATCCATCCATGTTAGCATCCATCCATGTTAGCATCCATCCATGTTAGCATCCATCCATGTTAGCATCCATCCATGTTAGCATCAGTCCATGTTAGCATCAGTCCATGTTAGCATCCATCCATGTTAGCATCCATCCATGTTAGCATCCATCCATGTTACAGTAGCATCCATCCATGTTAGCATCAGTCCATGTTAGCATCCGTCCATGTTAGCATCCATCCATGTTAGCATCCATCCATGTTAGCATCAGTCCATGTTAGCATCCATCCATGTTAGCATCCGTCCATGTTAGCATCCGCCCATGTTAGCATCCATCCATGTTAGCATCCATCCATGTTACAGTAGCATCCGTCCATGTTAGCATCCATCCATGTTAGCATCAGTCCATGTTAGCATCCATCCATGTTAGCATCCATCCATGTTAGCATCAGTCCATGTTAGCATCCATCCATGTTAGCATCAGTCCATGTTAGCATCCATCCATGTTAGCATCCGTCCATGTTAGCATCAGTCCATGTTAGCATCCATCCATGTTAGCATCCATCCATGTTAGCATCAGTCCATGTTAGCATCCATCCATGTTAGCATCAGTCCATGTTAGCATCCATCCATGTTAGCATCCATCCATGTTAGCATCAGTCCATGTTAGCATCCATCCATGTTAGCATCAGTCCATGTTAGCATCCGCCCATGTTAGCATCCATCCATGTTAGCATCCATCCATGTTAGCATCAGTCCATGTTAGCATCAGTCCATGTTAGCATCCATCCATGTTAGCATCCATCCATGTTAGCATCAGTCCATGTTAGCATCCATCCATGTTAGCATCAGTCCATGTTAGCATCCATCCATGTTAGCATCCATCCATGTTAGCATCCATCCATGTTAGCATCCATCCATGTTAGCATCCATCCATGTTAGCATCAGTCCATGTTAGCATCAGTCCATGTTAGCATCCATCCATGTTAGCATCCATCCATGTTAGCATCAGTCCATGTTAGCATCCATCCATGTTAGCATCCATCCATGTTAGCATCCATCCATGTTAGCATCAGTCCATGTTAGCATCCATCCATGTTAGCATCCATCCATGTTAGCATCCATCCATGTTAGCATCCATCCATGTTAGCATCCATCCATGTTAGCATCAGTCCATGTTAGCATCAGTCCATGTTAGCATCCATCCATGTTAGCATCTGTTAGCATGTATTTAACCCCGTCCTGTCTCCTCCTCTCCAGCGCATACCGTCCCTGATCCAAGCCTTCAACGACAACAACGTGACGTTCATGGTGCGAGGAGGTCAGCAGGTCCTGGTGATGCTCGCCGACCCCAACGCAGGTACGACTTTTCACACCCAAAAACGCAACTTCACTTTTATTTTGAAATATGGACCTCTGTATGCAATGTTACTGACTTTATTTTGAAGGTGTAGAGAGTAGTAATGCGACATCAGCGGCCGCAGCAGACCAGGGTGCGTTTGGAATGTGGTGAATCACGAGTGGATTTGCCTCAAAAATCTAAACATCTGATTGAATTCTTTGCTGTGGACTGAAGTGATATTTAAGAGTGCTGCTGTTTTACTTACCTGCACTTTATACATTTATTATTCTAAGTTTACAAAGTGTGAAAGTGTCTTTGTTTTGGCCATACATGTTTTTCTACTTGTAAAAAAAACATTGTTAGTGGTTGTGTGAATCCGAACATTGTCAAATGAACGTATTTATTTTACTTTTTAATTATAATTCAACCCAGAAATTGTGTCTGTTGTGGCACCCAACTACTGGCCATAGAGAGACCAGAGAGAGAGAGAGAGAGACCAGAGAGAGACCAGAGAGAGACCAGAGAGAGACCAGAGAGAGACCAGAGAGAGACCAGAGAGAGACCAGAGAGAGACCAGAGAGAGACCAGAGAGAGACCAGAGAGAGACCAGAGAGAGACAAGAGAGAGACAAGAGAGAGACAAGAGAGAGACCAGAGAGAGACCAGAGAGAGACAAGAGAGAGACAAGAGAGAGACCAGAGAGAGACCAGAGAGAGACCAGAGAGAGACAAGAGAGAGACCAGAGAGAGACCAGAGAGAGACCAGAGAGAGACCAGAAAGAGACCAGAGAGAGACCAGAGAGAGACCAGAGAGAGACCAGAGAGAGACAAGAGAGAGACAAGAGAGAGACCAGAGAGAGACCAGAGAGAGACCAGAGAGAGACCAGAGAGAGACCAGAGAGAGACCAGAGAGAGACCAGAGAGAGACCAGAGAGAGACAAGAGAGAGACCAGAGAGAGAGAGAGAGACCAGAGAGAGACCAGAGAGAGACCAGAGAGAGACAAGAGAGAGACAAGAGAGAGACCAGAGAGAGACCAGAGAGAGACCAGAGAGAGACCAGAGAGAGACCAGAGAGAGACCAGAGAGAGACCAGAGAGAGACCAGAGAGAGACCAGAGAGAGAGAGAGACTAGAGAGAGACTAGAGAAAGACCAGAGAGAGACCAGAGAGAGACCAGAGAGAGACCAGAGAGAGACCAGAGAGAGACCAGAGAGAGACAAGAGAGAGACCAGAGAGAGACCAGAGAGAGACCAGAGAGAGACCAGAAAGAGACCAGAGAGAGACAAGAGAGAGACAAGAGAGAGACAAGAGAGAGACCAGAGAGAGACCAGAGAGAGACCAGAGAGAGACCAGAGAGAGACCAGAAAGAGACCAGAGAGAGACAAGAGAGAGACAAGAGAGAGACCAGAGAGAGACCAGAGAGAGAGAGAGAGACTAGAGAGAGACTAGAGAAAGACCAGAGAGAGACCAGAGAGAGACCAGAGAGAGACCAGAGAGAGACCAGAGAGAGACAAGAGAGAGACAAGAGAGAGACAAGAGAGAGACAAGAGAGAGACCAGAGAGAGACCAGAGAGAGACCAGAGAGAGACCAGAGAGAGACCAGAGAGAGACAAGAGAGAGACAAGAGAGAGACCAGAGAGAGACCAGAGAGAGACCAGAGAGAGACCAGAGTGAGATCAGAGAGAAACCAGAGAGAGACCAGAGAGAGATCAGAAAGAGACCAGAGAGAGACCAGAGAGAGACCAGAGAGAGAGAGAGACTAGAGAGAGACTAGAGAGAGACCAGAGAGAGACCAGAGAGAGACCAGAGAGAGACCAGAGAGAGACCAGAGAGAGACAAGAGAGAGACCAGAGAGAGACCAGAGAGAGACCAGAGAGAGACCAGAGAGAGACCAGAGAGAGACAAGAGGGAGAGTGAGATCAGAGAGAAACCAGAGAGAGACCAGAGAGAGATCAGAAAGAGACCAGAGAGACCCCAAGCTCTCCCAGATGTTAAATGGGAAATAAACAATGTTGATAAATTGGAGACGGATATTTTTGATCAGAGTTTTTGTCTTTTTATCATTTGAAAATATAAAACACAACCACTAGCACCCAGTGATATTGCGTTATTATCCTCCTGAGTGTGTAGACGTTCACCGCTGCATGTGACCAGTGACCGGAGTGTCGTATCTAATATGGTACTGTGTTGAATTAGGCTACCACGGTGCAGCCGGAGGTCCAGGTGTATGGGCTGTCTGTGTCCTGTTCCTGGTCAGCGTCATCGCCACCGGCTCCTTCATCCTGTACAAGTTTAAGAGGTGAGAATCTGTGTTTGCTTCAGATGTACGTGCATGATTTCACTGAGCTGCTCCTTTTTTTACGTGTCGTGTCACTTTTTGAGTGCTTCTGACCAGACCCAATCATCAAACTAGGACTGCAAAGCTAGTCTAGAACATTTGAACTGGAAAGAACCTGAAAAATGAACACCAATAGTAAAATGTTGTTCTGTAGCCTCCACACATAAGTTTGTATTTATAGAGTGTTATGGATCATGGCTGGGAAAGGGGGAGGAGCTTAGTCACATGGTCGTGCCACATCTTTAAAGGGACAGAATGGATTATCTTCTGCTGTACCAGGAAGGGACAAGGGAGAGACCAGGGAGACACCAGAGAGACACCAGAGAGACACCAGAGAGAGACTAGAGAGAGACTAGAGAGAGACTAGAGAGAGACTAGAGAGAGACCAGAGAGAGACCAGAGAGAGACCAGAGAGAGACCAGAGAGAGACCAGAGAGAGACCAGAGAGAGACTAGAGAGAGACTAGAGAGAGACCAGAGAGAGACCAGAGAGAGACCAGAGAGAGACCAGAGAGAGACCAGAGAGAGACCAGAGAGAGACCAGAGAGAGACCAGAGAGAGACCAGAGAGAGACCAGAGAGAGACCAGGGAGAGTGAATAGAGAACGAGACCATACATAAGTTTTATGTATAGAATGCTATCGATAATGGCTGGGATAGGGTAAGAAGCTTAGTCACATGGAAGGAGCTTGGAGTAGAGCCGCTGCTTCTCCACGTCGAGAGGAGCCAGGTGAAGTGGCTCGGGCGTCTGTTTGGGATGCCTCTTGTTATGGGCACGTCCCACCAGGAGGAGACTAGAGCAAGACCCAGGACACAGAGGGACTCTGTCTCTCTTTCTGGTCTTCCACAAATTTTTTTTTTTCGATCTGACAAGATCAGTTTTCACAACACGATGAATGCATGATCCTTTTTGAACAATATATAATGATTGATAGAAAGAAGGTTAAAATAATGATGATCAAGCCAGAGAGAGACCCAAGTTAGAACAGAGAGAGACCAGAGAGAGACCAGAGAGAATAGAGAGACCAGAGAGAATCGAGAGAGACCAGAGACCAGAGAGACCGGAGAGACCGGAGAGACCGGAGAGACCAGAGAGACTAGAAAGACCAGAGAGACTAGAGAGACTAGAGAGACTAGAGAGACTAGAGAGACTAGAGAGACTAGAGAGACTAGAGAGACTAGAGAGACTAGAGAGGCAAGAGAGACCAGAGAGACTAGAAAGACCAGAGAGACTAGAGAGACTAGAGAGGCAAGAGAGACCAGAGAGACTAGAAAGACCAGAGAGACTAGAGAGATCAAAGAGACCAGAGAGACCAGAGAGAGACCAAAGTAAGAACAGAGAGAAACCAGAAACAGAGAAAATATAATGCATACTTTTAATCAGATGCATCTTTTTTTGTGTTCACTTTTTCACGTTACCAAAACAGCCTCGGTCACAAATGTCACTCAAAATGAAAATTGTAAATCAAAGAACTACATCCTCTTACAAAAACTACAAATCCCACAGTCCCTGCCCCCGGACTGAGGACGCGTATCCGCCGCTGTTTTTCAGGAAGCTCCCGGTGAACAGGAACGTGTACGCACAGATGCACAACCAGAAGGAGCAGGAGATGACCAGCCCCGTGTGTCACAGCGACGACACACAACACATCATCCAGGGGGAGGAGTTTATCGATGACGACCTGGACGCACACACGCTAGGTAACGCTGGAGGGAGCCCCGCCTTCCGCGCCCTTATAAGGACTTCCACTAACCACTGCTACTAGAGCCCGCCCCCCTCCTCACACCAGCAGAACCACTCGCGCCAAGGTACAGGAGAGCCGTGTGTGTGTGTGTGTGTCTGTGTGTGTGTGTGTCTGTGTGTGTGGGTGGGTGTGTGTGTGTGTGTGTGTGGATGTGTGTGTGCGTGTGGGGTGAGAGAGGATAATAAAAAAAGAGACCCGAGAGAGACCAGAGAGATCCTAGAGAGAGACCAGAAAAATGTGTGTGTGTGTGTGTATGTGGGTGTGTGTGTCTGTGTGTGTGCGTTTGTAAACGGTGACATATGGGGACGTCCACCTGAATACACACAGACATATGGGGACCCGAAACACTGCGGGGACCTCATCCGAGGTCCCCAGAGGCACAATGCTATTATTCAACCAGGAACAGCCCAGGGATGCTTCCCAACTACTTATCTCCAAAGACCCCTTAGTGCCCAAAACCTGACAAAGTGTATCCTCATGCGACCCTAGTGGATACACAGAGGTACTGCAGTCCCCTTATGTACTCATGTGTTTGTTGTGTGTATCATCAGGTCCCACTCGAGAGCACCCCCACATGGAAGTTGCTGGTACTGCAGCTAAATAATGTTTATACTGGTTTTCGGTGGATTTAGTTCACTTTGTATATATTTAAATATGAGATTTTAATTAAAAAATATACATATATATATTCATGTAATTTAAGTAAAAAATAATACAATAGTGTTCAAACAAGGCACAAGTAACACCAGAACCATGTTATTTTCACACAAAGATGCTTTATCTGCAGCTTTGAAAAGTAGGAAAGTAAGTAAATGAGTCAGTACTGGTAGGACACTAACTAATACTGTAACTGTATGGTGTATGTTTACAGAGGTATATGTATAAATAAATATTTTATATATTTTTTGATAATAATCTATGTATATATTTTTTACAGAGCAAGAATGTGCATTAAGAAGAAATAGTTATATTTCAATTAAGACAATAACAATTTAACGTTTAAAAACAAAACCAATATTGAAAGTTATTTGCAGAAGTAATCTTCTCATAAAAGAATAGTTCAAAGTCAAACATTCTTTATGTATGTAATCAAAGTATGAATATTGAAAAATGTGATCTATTGTCATTACATTCACTTGTTATATTATATTCACTTTATTTAGGATAAAACTGCATTAAAGCCTCATGCTTTAGGCTCCTTTGGATTACATTGATTAGCTTAGCATAGCATACACAATAGGACAGGGACTTAAGCTAACACTAAGCTAATGGCTAGCGTCACTCACCAGTTTAGAAGCTCTGAACTATGAACAATTGTAAAGTGCTTTGGGTGATCTTGGTTTGTTAAACGTGCTATATAAATAAACATTACTTACTTACTTACTAGAAGTTCAGAAAAATAGCTGCTTAACACAGCTCACATACCTGCTAGCTCCTCTCCTGGTGCAAACCCCAATGCACTGCTATTATTAATGAACCCAAGCCCCAATATAGAGTGCTAGCACATAAAAACATGATCTAATGTTATCATCATAATAATAGCATAGAATCTTAGTTTTTCCATTTAGCGTAGACATAGTAGTTAACTCTTTAGGTTCCAGAATCCATGAAACAATTCAATTTGAATTGGCTTACATCCATGTGAGACATGTTTGGCAACCCTGGTCTTCATTCATTTGAGGACCTCTGTATGTACTTTACATGGTCTAAAAGGTCATTTCCAAACTGTCTTCTCATATTTTGGGACAGACATATGTCAGAATCAGAATCATTTTTATTGCCACGTAAGTAACAGGAAGTCACAAACTTGGGAATTGCTTTGGCTCAGTGCAACAGTCAGAGAGAGAGGTAAGAGTAAAGAAGGCACAATATAAAGAATAAAGAGCACTTCTAAGGAATACATTTATTATAGAATTATTATGATTACAATTACTATTTACAATATACAGTGCACATGGTGCACACCATGTAAGGTGACAGCAGTAAAGTGAAGTAAAGTGACGTATGATGGGCAGTAAAGTGACTTTATAAAGGGTAGTAAAGTGACGTATTATGGGCAGTAAAGTGACGTATTATGGGCAGTAAAGTGACTTTATAAAGGGCAGTAAAGTGACTTTATAAAGGGTAGTAAAGTGACGTATTATGGGCAGTAAAGTTACTTTATAAAGGGCAGTAAAGTGACTTTATAAAGGGTAGTAAAGTGACGTATGATGGGCAGTAAAGTGACTTTATAAAGGGTAGTAAAGTGACTTATTATGGGCAGTAAAGTGACTTTATAAAGGGCAGTAAAGTGACTTTATAAAGGGTAGTAAAGTGACGTATTATGGGCAGTAAAGTGACTTTATAAAGGGTAGTAAAGTGACGTATTATGGGCAGTAAAGTGACTTTATAAAGGGCAGTAAAGTGACGTATTATGGGCAGTAAAGTGACTTTATAAAGGGCAGTAAAGTGACGTATTATGGGCAGTAAAGTAACTTTATAAAGGGCAGTAAAGTGACGTATTATGGGCAGTAAAGTGACTTTTTAAAGGGCAGTAAAGTGACTTTATAAAGGGCAGTACAGTGACATTATAAAGAACAGTAAAGTGACATTATAAAGGGCAGTACAGTGACATTATAAAGGGCAGTAAAGTGACTTTATAAAGGGCAGTAAAGTGACTTTATAAAGGGCAGTAAAGTGACATTATAAAGGGCAGTAAAGTGACTTTATAAAGAGCAGTAAAGTGACATTATAAAGGGCAGTAAATTGACATAAAGGGCAGTAAAGTGACTTTATAAAGAGCAGTGAGGGGACTTCTAAAGGGCAGGGGACAGGTTATGAAAGTGTTCAAGAGTCCAACAGCAGAGGGGAAGAAACTGTTCTTGTGGAGGTTCTAGTCCTGATGGACCGCAGCCTCCTGCCTGAGGGGAGTGGTTGGAATAGTCCATGTGCAGGTGAGAGGGGAGTGGTTGGAATAGTCCATGTGCAGGTGAGAGGGGAGTGGTTGGAATAGTCCATGTGCAGGTGAGAGGGGAGTGGTTGGAATAGTCCATGTGCAGGTGAGAGGGGAGTGGTTGGAATAGTCCATGTGCAGGTGAGAGGGGAGTGGTTGGAATAGTCCATGTGCAGGTGAGAGGGGAGTGGTTGGAATAGTCCATGTGCAGGTGAGAGGGGTCGGCTGTGATACGACCAGCCCGGCCTCGAGCTCGGGCGACGTACAGGTCCTGCAGCGATGGAAGGCTGCGGCCGATCACTTCCTCTGCAGAGCGCACAATGCGCTGTAGTCTCTGTTTGTCCCTGACTGTGGCTCCAGCGAACCACACGGTGATGGAGGAGGTGATGGAGGAGGTGATGGAGGAGGTGATGGAGGAGGCGATGGAGGATGTGATGGAGGAGGTGATGGAGGAGGTGCTGGAGGAGGTGATGGAGGAGGTGATGGAGGTGATGGAGGAGGTGATGGAGGAGGTGATGGAGGAGGTGATGCAGGAGGTGATGGAGGAGGCCCAGCAGGAAGTACATCCTCTGCTGGGCCTTCTTGATGAGGGAGCTGATGGTCGGCTCCCACTTGAGGTCCTGGGTGATGGTGGTGCCCAGGAAACGGAAGGACTCCACAGAGGTGATGGGGGAGTCCATCACGGAGGGTGGGGGCGGGGGGACAGTGCTCTTCCTGAAGTCCACAATCATCTCCACTGTCTTCTGGGCGTTCAGCTCCAGGTTGTTACCTGCACCAGGACACCAGCCGGTCCACCTCCCTCCTGTAGGAGACACCAGGACACCAGCCGGTCCACCTCCCTCCTGTAGGAGACACCAGGACACCAGCCGGTCCACCTCCCTCCTGTAGGAGACACCAGGACACCAGCCGGTCCACCTCCCTCCTGTAGGAGACACCAGGACACCAGCCGGTCCACCTCCCTCCTGTAGGAGACACCAGGACACCAGCCGGTCCACCTCCTCCTGTAGGAGACACCAGGACACCAGCCGGTCCACCTCCCTCCTGTAGGAGACACCAGGACACCAGCCGGTCCACCTCCTCCTGTAGGAGACACCAGGACACCAGCCGGTCCACCTCCTCCTGTAGGAGACACCAGGACACCAGCCGGTCCACCTCCTCCTGTAGGAGACACCAGGACACCAGCCGGTCCACCTCCCTCCTGTAGGAGACACCAGGACACCAGCCGGTCCACCTCCCTCCTGTAGGAGACACCAGGACACCAGCCGGTCCACCTCCCTCCTGTAGGAGACACCAGGACACCAGCCGGTCCACCTCCTCCAGTAGGAGACACCAGGACACCAGCCGGTCCACCTCCCTCCTGTAGGAGACACCAGGACACCAGCCGGTCCACCTCCCTCCTGTAGGAGACACCAGGACACCAGCCGGTCCACCTCCCTCCTGTAGGAGACACCAGGACACCAGCCGGTCCACCTCCCTCCAGTAGGAGACACCAGGACACCAGCCGGTCCACCTCCCTCCTGTAGGAGACACCAGGACACCAGCCGGTCCACCTCCCTCCTGTAGGAGACACCAGGACACCAGCCGGTCCACCTCCCTCCTGTAGGAGACACCAGGACACCAGCCGGTCCACCTCCCTCCTGTAGGAGACACCAGGACACCAGCCGGTCCACCTCCCTCCTGTAGGCGGACTCATCGTTGTTGGAGATGAGTCCAATGAGGGTGGTGTCGTCCGTGAACTTGATCAGCTTCACGGAGTCGTGGCTGGAGGTGCAGTGGTTGGTGTACAGGGAGAAGAGCAGGGGAGAAAGAACACAGCCCTGTGGGGCTCCTGTATTTATAATCCGAGAGTCCGAGACATTCTTCCCCAGACGCACTCGCTGCTTCCTGTCCGTCAGGAAGTCAGTGATCCACCTGCAGGTGGAATCGGGCACGTTGAGCTGGGAGAGCTTGTCCTGGAGCAGGGATGGCAGGATTGTGTTGAAGGCAGAGCTGAAGTCCACGAACAGGACCCTGGCGTAGGTCCCCGGGGAGTCCAGGTGCTGTAGGATGTGGTGGAGGGCCAGGTTAATGGCGTCGTCTACAGATCTGTTGGCTCTGTAGGCGAACTGCAGGGGATCCAGGAGGGGGGAGGTGAGGGACTTGAGATGGGAGAGAACCAGGCGTTCAAATGACTTCATGACGAGAAGACGTAAGTGCTACAGGTCTGTAGTCGTTGAGTCCTGTGATCCTGGGCTTCTTCGGGACGGGGAGAATGATGGAGGATTTGAAGCAGGCCGGGACATGGCAGGACTGCAGAGAGGTGTTGAAAATGTCAGTGAACACAGGAGTAAGCTCACTGGGGCAGTGTCTCAGAGTGGCCGGAGACACGTGGTCCGGGCCAGGAGCTTTGCGGCGGTGCAGCCTCAAGAAGAGTTGTTTAATCTCTTTAGCGGCTATTGTTAGGCTGGGGGCAGGGCTGATGGGTGGGTCGTTAGAGTAGTGGGGGGTGGGGGAGGGAGAGGTGTCAGGGGCAGCATCAAAGCGACTGAAAAATAAGTTCAGATCGTCAGCTAGCTTGTGGTCATCAGCACAGGGGGGGGCTTTGGGTTTGTAGTTGGTGATCTCCCGTAGGCCCCTCCAGACAGAAGCAGTATCGTTGTTACCAAACTGCTCCTGTAGTCGTTCTCTGTGCCGGGACTTGGCTGCTTTCAGTTCTTTCCTGAACTGATATTTAGCTGCTTTGTAGCCACTGCGGTCCCCCTCCCTGAAAGCAGACTCCTTTGCTTTCCTGAGCTGCCGGAGTTTAGCAGTGAACCAGGGTTTGTCGTTGTTATAGATGACCCTGGTCCTTGTTGGAATGATGCTATCCTCACAGAAGTGGATGTATGACGTCACAGTGTCCGTGTATTCATCCAAACTGTCTGTGGCAGCTCTGAAAAGGTCCCAGTCTGTAGATTCCATACATGCAGCTCTTCCACAGCTTCATCAGACCACACTTTGGAGCTCCTCACTGCAGGTTTCGAGAGCTTTAGTCTCTGTCTGTAAGCAGGAACCAGATGTATCATGGAGTGATCTGAGAAGCCGAGGGCTGACTTGGGAACAGCACGAAAAGCTCCGTGCACAGAGGTGTAGCAGTGATCCAGAGTGTTCTCCTCTCTGGTCGGGCATTTGATAAACTGTCTGTATTTGGGTAATTCCTGGCTCAAGTTTCCCTTATTAAAATCCCCCAGGATAATAATCAGAGAGTCCGGGTATAAACGTTCCATACACAGTACTTGCTCTGCGTCCGCGCATGGCGGTATGTAAACAGAGGCAAGAATGGATGAAACAAACTCACGAGGGGAGTAAAATGGTTTACAATGAATGAAAAGATATTCCAGAGCAGGAGAGCAGTGCTTGGAGATCACTGTCACATCGTTACACCAGTTTGTATTGACGTAGAAACACAGCCCACCGCCTCTGCTCTTCCCTGAGAGCGCACAATGGAGGACACAGAGGACACCAGGTCTCAGTGAAGCAGAGGACACAGAGGACACCAGGTCTCAGTGAAGCAGAGGACACAGAGGACACCAGGTCTCAGTGAAGCAGAGGACACAGAGGACACCAGGTCTCAGTGAAGCAGAGGACACAGAGGACACCAGGTCTCAGTGAAGCAGAGGACACAGAGGACACCAGGTCTCAGTGAAGCAGAGGACACAGAGGACACCAGGTCTCAGTGAAGCAGAGGACACAGAGGACACCAGGTCTCAGTGAAGCAGAGGACACAGAGGACACCAGGTCTCAGTGAAGCAGAGGACACAGAGGACACCAGGTCTCAGTGAAGCAGAGGACACAGGATGAAGTCCTTGTTTCTTCTCATGAGCAGGCTGAGTTCGTCTTATTGCCCAGTGAGCGTACGTTGGACAGAAAAATCCCGGGGAGAGCCGTGCTCCTCTCCTCCTCAGACGCACGAGCAGCCTCCGCGCTTTCCCCTTTTACGGGACCACACTTTTTTGGCTAGAACATGAACTAAATCAGCCGCAGATGCCAAGAAAACAGGCAATAGGTCCATGGGGACGGTGGGTCAGATGTTCATAAGTTCCTCACGGGTGTAGGAACAGCCAGATGCACAGTTAAAAAGTAGAAACAAGAGAAGAAGAGAGCAGCAAAGAGCCATGTCGACCGTACAAGGCGCCATCTTGTGTTTCAAATGAAAATCACAAAAAGTAATTTAGACGATCATTATTGGTTTACTGCGTTTTCGTTGTAATTGGATCCACAGAAAACCAAAAACAAACCGATATTTCAATCAAAAACAATCCGTGTACCCTTCGATCATTAGTTATTCCGTTTCAAAACAAAATCAGAAAAACAAATGACATGGTTGTTTTATTGTATTTCCATTTTCTAAATTAAATTGGAAAATCAAAACATTCTAAATGAAATATTCACCCATTTCTTTGCTATGCAGTGGAAACAAACACTACTAAAACAACTTCCATTATTTTGTAAGTAAGTAAGTAAGTAAGTAAGTAAGTAAGTAATTATTTATATACCGCCTTTTCACTGCAGAGCTGAGTCTCAAAGCGGTTTACAATTGTTATTTTTTTTGGGAGCAGGGTTGCCAGTACAGGAGGCGCATGCCAGAACTATTTTACATATTTTTAGCGGTAGGGGAAACCGGAGTACCCGGAGGAAACCTACGCAGACACGGGGAGAACATGCAAACTCCACTCAGAAAGGCCCTGGTCCGACCGGGATTCGAACCTTCTTGCTGAGAGGCGAGAGTGCTATCCACTCAGCCACCGTGCCGCCCGTTTGTTTGATATGCTCCCGGAAATGATGAGTGGTGAGAGACGGAAACAACTGCAAGCTGCACTCAACTCAACTCAACTACACGACAACAACTCACGCTGTTGTTGAGCTCGCCCCCAGGCCCGAGCTCCAGCACCTGGTATTCCCAGGCGGTCTCCCATCCAAGTACTAACCAGGCCCGAGCTCCAGGGGCAAAATGCTTACAGCACCTGGTATTCCCAGGCGGTCTCCCATCCAAGTACTAACCAGGCCCGAGCTCCAGGGGCAAAATGCTTACAGCACCTGGTATTCCCAGGCGGTCTCCCATCCAAGTACTAACCAGGCCCGAGCTCCAGGGGCAAAATGCTTACAGCACCTGGTATTCCCAGGCGGTCTCCCATCCAAGGACTAAACCAGGCCCGAGCTCCAGGGGCAAAATGCTTACAGCACCTGGTATTCCCAGGCGGTCTCCCATCCAAGTACTAACCAGGCCCGAGCTCCAGGGGCAAAATGCTTACAGCACCTGGTATTCCCAGGCGGTCTCCCATCCAAGTACTAACCAGGCCCGAGCTCCAGGGGCAAAATGCTTACAGCACCTGGTATTCCCAGGCGGTCTCCCATCCAAGTACTAACCAGGCCCGAGCTCCAGGGGCAAAATGCTTACAGCACCTGGTATTCCCAGGCGGTCTCCCATCCAAGGACTAACCAGGCCCGAGCTCCAGGGGCAAAATGCTTACAGCACCTGGTATTCCCAGGCGGTCTCCCATCCAAGTACTAACCAGGCCCGAGCTCCAGGGGCAAAATGCTTACAGCACCTGGTATTCCCAGGCGGTCTCCCATCCAAGTACTAACCAGGCCCGAGCTCCAGGGGCAAAATGCTTACAGCACCTGGTATTCCCAGGCGGTCTCCCATCCAAGTACTAACCAGGCCCGAGCTCCAGGGGCAAAATGCTTACAGCACCTGGTATTCCCAGGCGGTCTCCCATCCAAGGACTAACCAGGCCCGAGCTCCAGGGGAAAAATGCTTACAGCACCTGGTATTCCCAGGCGGTCTTTCTCCATTCATTGTGGATTACACACGCACTCGGTAAGTCTCCTCTGATAAACACAATGTTTTTGTGCTCGTTCTTTATGTTTCACTTCATAAATCTCTCATATTGTGCGTAGATCGTTCACACACGTCTGTAGTTTAAATCTCGAGTGTGTAGTGCGCTGTTTATGATTGTTTACCTCCGTGTCATATGTTTGTTGCTGCTGCTGCTGCTGCTGCTCGTAGATCTCTCTGTTTGGATCAATATTGTAAAGAAAACACTTTCTCTGCGTTGTCAAACAATCTGTATTCACTGTATTCTACTGTATACAGTAATGCAGTTTGTTTACGTCTGGTTGTAGTAGTATTTCCAGCGCTAGCTAATTATTATTAGCTAATTATTGTTGATGTGTGTACTATCTATATGTATTTCACATTTCTATAGTTCAGCAACACATTGAGTTGAAAATGAATTATATGCAGTTAGTTTACGACAATGTATTAGTGTTTTACCAGTTCATATTTTCCTTCTATAACTGTACTTACTGTATCCCAGAGCCTCATGCTGCTAATGTCCAGATGTAAACATACAACTGTATATGTCTTCTCTAGATTATACAGGATTCATGCTTCTTTATTATGCTAAATTTAATTATTTTATTCTTTATTGTGCTAAAGATATATACATTATACATACTTCTCTATCATGCTATAGCTAGATATTTTATGATCTTTTTTTGTTGTTGCAGACAATATGAAGACATTTTCATTCTTTCCTGGCCGCGTCACTGTGATTTTTCACAAGGGCCCACGTGGATTCCTGCTGCAGGACCCTTCGGAGGAGGCGAGGGAGATCAGGGACGACCCGTCCATGAGGGAGTGTGGTGCTCCTCTGAGGGAGGAGGTGGTGAGGGAGAACGCCCTCACTCTGGTGCGAGTGAGAGGAGGTGATGCCTCAGACAAGGCTGAAGTGCTGGGGGAGTACATCGCTCACAGCAGGCAGTAGGACCAGCACAGTGCCTGTTGTCACCATGCCCCCTGCAGCAGTGAACCCCCCTCCTCCTGCTCAGACTCATGTCACCGCTGTCTGAGGAGGCCATAGAGAAGGTTGTGCAGCGGATCTTGGAAAAGCAGCAGCAGCCTCCAGCAAATAAACCCCACACAAAGAAAGGCCTGTCTTGTGGCCAGCCAAAATCCAAATATGAGGGCGACGGCAGCTCCATCCACGAGTTTTACCAGCCGGGTCCTACCAGGTATTTCTACTGCTCCACCAAGGTCTATAGCACCTATCGCACAGAGGGTTTGACCAACTCCAGGATGCCATTCCGAGACTTTATGGACACTGAGTTCTACCAGAGAGAGCTGGAGGCCACGCAGCAGAGAGTGAATGAGCGGCAGGAGAAGAAAAGGAAGAGAGATGAGTCTCCTGCCACTGGGAGAAAGTGCGGGTTCTGCAAACTGCAGCTGAAGCAGGGACCAAACAGTCCTCACATTCATACACAATTCCCTGGTCTGTCAGGAAAATACATCTACTGCCCTGCCAAAGTATTCTCCCTGTACAAGGACCAGGGAATGGAGACGCAGATGTTCCAGCAGTCTCCTTTTTATGACCGGGAGAGGGAAAGGTGGCGTGTAAATAAATGAGCTATCTGCTGTCTATTGGTGCTGTTGTATATAGTTACAATAGCACGGTGGCTGAGTGGATAGCACTCTCGCCTCTCAGCAAGAAGGTCCTGGGTTCGAATCCCGGTTGGACCAGGGCCTTTCTGAATGGAGTTTGCATGTTCTCCCCGTGTCTGCGTAGGTTTCCTCCGGGTGCTCCGGTTTCCCCTACCACTAAAAATATGTACAATAGGTCTGGCATGCGCCTCCTGTACTGGCCCCACTCCCAAAAATAACAATTGTAAACCGCTTTGAGACTCCGATGTGCAGTGAAAAGGCGGTATATAAATAAAGATTACTTACTACTACTACTTACTTACTATATTATACCTGTCTGTTCATAAATGTTTATAAATATTCTAATTATTATGTAAATATATACTTAATATTGATTATATCTAATTATATCATTTCATTTGTAAAGTCTGCATCTACAGTTCTGTATAGTCAGCTCTCAGCCGTCACAGTCACAGGGCTCATCACACAAATACTAGTTTAAGAAGATAAAGATAGCATGTTGTTGTTTTTCTTCTAAGTGTATTTCTTAAATTTGTAAATATCTCTTTTTTCATCTGTTCACAATAAATATATTATAATGTCATACATTATTGAAGTCTTTCTTTTTATTGATCATATTTCAGGGCAAACAGTAGTATTTGACAAAACAATCTGTATAGAAAATAGAGTTTCAGTTCAGTGCCAATCAACAATATGCCCACTATACGCGGCCCCCGCGGCCTGACCTTGCCTAGCTTCCGAGATCAGACGAGATCGGGCATTCTCAAGGTGGTATGGCCGTAAGCACGGGGGTATGGAGCAGCGTGCCTCCTGACCCTGCGGTCCTCTCCTCCCCCAGAAGGAGCGCTCTTGGGCGGATGGTAGACGCGCGGTCCCCCGGTGGTTTCCAAGGGCCATAACTTTCTGGTCCTTTATCCCCCGCGCGTCAAATTCACACCGCGGGTAGGACCAGGGGAGTCCCACCCCTGTGTCTGTAGCCCCCCTTCCGCGAGGTCTCTTCTCTCTTCCGGTGTCGCAAATAATAATAAAACAAAATAATAGTAATGCCATAATTCTTTTGAGAATTTTAAACAACTAGAGCCAAAACAAACACATTGATATTGAAGCATAAAGGATTTGATTTTCCAATTTGATTTAGAAAAGAAAAAGAACAATAAACGAATGGAAAATTTGTTTTTCTGATTTTATTTTGAAAGTTTTTTTTTTTGAGTTTTATTTAGAAAATCAAAAGAACGGATTTACACGGATTTTTTTTACGCACTAATTTTTTTTTATTTTTTTTTATTTTTTTAAACTTAAATTTTATTGACATTTTTTATGAACAGAACAAGAACAATAGACAAAATACAGTCAGCATTAAGAAGTTTCACTGTACATCAATAAATATTTTCATACAGATGTAGCAAGAGCAGGGTTAGAGTATTATGCATACCCATATATTTACCCATACTTACATACAAGTCACAACACTGAGCCTACATTAAAATATGTCAACCATTTACCCCATTTGGAGTAATAGATATTAGCCTGTGTCCTTAGCATAAAAGTCAGACGCTCCATTTGATGAATTTCGTCCACTAGATTTATCCAATCTTCCAATGAAGGCGGGTCTGTTTGAAGCCATTTCCTGGTGATTGCTTTTTTTGCACATGCAATAAAAATTTTGATTAAATATTTAATGTTATTTGGCAAGCCTGTGTGTATGTCTCCCATGTAGAGTGTCATCATTTCTTGTTTAAGTTTGACACCAGTTATTTGGTCTATTTTTAATCTGACATCAGTCCAGAATGGTTTTATCTTAGCACAGGACCAAAATATATGAGTGTGATGGGCCTCCCTATCCCCACAACCTCTCCAGCATAAAGAACTCTTCAGGTTCCATGTCGTTTGTTGTTTGGGGGTTATAAAAAACCGTATCAAGTTTTTCCAACTAAATTCGCGCCAGTCGGCAGAGCTGGCGGTCGACAAGGCTGTCTCACATACATTATCCCATTGCTCATTTGTAATGTCCAAACCAATTTCCTTTTCCCATCTCTTCTTGATATAAATTGTTGATTCTCCCCTGCTAGTTGCTAATCCCTGATATAGTTTAGAAATAATAGATGTACATTTTTTGGTATATGATTGTGAAATCAGCTTAATTAATTGATTTGAGCCCAGTTCTGGTTTTGATAGTTTTGTTGATAAATATTGTCTTACTTGTAGGTATCTAAAAAAATCATTTTTCTCTAATTTATACTTTCTTTGTAACATTTGAAAAGTTGGCAACAAGTTCTTATCAAGTTACAATAGGAAGTTAATCCTTGTCGTGTCCAATCTTTGAATCTAGAGTCAAATTGATTAGGTGTGATGTCTGTGTCGTAAGCGACCCAACGAAGCGTTCGTGCAAGATCTGATAACTTAAGTTCTTTTAAAGTTTGGAACCATGTAGTCAGTGTAAAAATTGCCAGCGGCGACAGAATGTCTTGGTGAGTTGTCATTAATTTTGAGTCACCAATAAACGCCTGTATAGGAATATTTCCACATATTTTCTCTATCTCTTTCCACCTCGCCTCACAGGTACCATCACAGGTACCATCACAGGTACCATCACAGGTACCATCACAGGTACCATCACACCACAATACCAACGGCCTGAGTTGAGATGCTGTATAGTAATCTTTCAGATTTGGTAATGATAAACCCCCCTTTTCTTTGTGGAGCATCAATGTACTAAATTTGACACGGGGTTTCTTTCCTCTCCAAATAAATCGGGATATTTGTTTTTCCCATTCACGGAATTGAGAAGTTGGAATTTCTAACTGGTAGTGACATAAATAAGTATAGTAATCTAGGCAAGACCGACATTTTAATTACTTCAATTCTTGAGTGGAAATTAAGTATGTTTGTTGTCCAGTGCGTGAGATCCCCTTTAATTTTTTTGTTCACATCGTCAAAGTTTTTCTTGAAAAGATCATCAGCCACATGCCCGAATACCGAATCGCCTTCCTGCACCAATCAGTTTTGATTTTTTCTTTTAAAACTTCAGCTGGCTTATAGTTAAAACACATAATCTGTGTCTTGCTTATGTTTAGTCTATATCCAGAATAAGCTCCAAATGTGTGAAGTGTTTGTAGGAGAGCCTGAGTGGATTGGTTTGGGTTAGATAGATACAGCAGGACGTCCACAGGACCACTTTATGCTCTCTGGAATTCACTGTTATGCCGTTAATATTTGGGTTTTCTCTAATTGCCTGTGCTAATGGTTCGATATAGAGTGCAAATAGGGTTGGCGATAAGGGACAGCCTTGACGTGTTGATCTTTCTAATTCTATCCGATCTGTTAAACGGCCATTCACTTTAATTCTTGCAGTGGGGGCCAAATACAATGTCTTTATGCTGTTAATGGAGGTGTCAGTAAAGCCAAATCTTTCTAAAACTAGGAATAAGTATTGCCAATCTACACAATCAAAAGCCTTTTCTGCGTCCAAACTTAACACTAGCGCAATAATCAGAAAGCTGCCTTGGTAAGTGCAGAGAACGTCTAATATTGTCCTGCGTTTGTCGCAATAAATCCTGTTTGATCCTCGTCTATTAAATCTGGAATAAAGGCGTTTAGTCTGTTAGATATTATAGATGCATATAATTTATAGTCTTGATTTAATATAGAGATTGGTCTATAAGAGCTACAGAGTTTTATCTTTACCCTCTTTGGGTATGACAGTAATAAATGCTTCAGTCCAAGATGGTGGCGTTGACATACTTTCCAGAGTCCAATTCAAGCTCTTCAAAAGTATTGATGTTAGTTCTGATTCAAATGCCTTATACCATTCTGCTGGAAGCCCGTCTGTACCCGGGCTTTTGCTGTTTTTCATCTTTTTAAATGCCATCTCCAGTTCGATCTTATGGATTTTTTTTGTTAGACATTCATTTTGTTGTCTTCCTATTGAAGGTAAATCCAAAGAATCCAAAAAACTTTTCACTCTATCTACTCCTATTCTCTCAGGCTGTGTGTGAAGAATTTTATAATAGTCTTTCAAAGCTGCATCAATTCCATCAAGATCATTTTCTAAACTGCCGGTCCTTGGATTAAGGATTAAGGGTGGTTTTGGTGGAACAGTTGATCAAAGACCTCGCAGCTCGTTCACTTGATGGACATAAGACTTTGGAATTGAGATTGAATGACATTGTTTGTCAGGCTTGATCTCTCTGACCCGGCTTGGATTTGCCCCTGTGTACGGAGGTCTGAGGGCACCGGAATTCGGTTTAATTGGAATTAATAGAATATCTGCCTGCTTTTGACTGCGACATTGCAGGCGATGTGTTTTTCTCCTCCTGTGGCTTCTCTCCACTCTTATCTCACATTCCTCAGCCAAGGCCATAAACAAGGTCCCACAATCTACAACAACTCACACTATTTCAGTCTTCAGCAAGGATCCCCCACCCCCGCCTCCCTCTACCTATCCATCTTGCTCCCTCCCTCCCCTCCATTCCTTATTGTTTTCCTACTCACCCCCTCCCTGATCCCGCCCCCCTCTGACAGCTACATTGGGCCGGCCGAAGAGGTGCTCTTCCCGAGAAAAAAATCCGTGGTTTATAAAAAGCACAATGTGTCTATCCAATTGTCTGTGAACTGTATGTTATTGCTCTCTGCTGTTTCTTGCTGCACACAGCGCCGCAAATGGCGAAGTGGCACGCTCTCTGCCAAAACAATTTCCAAGTGATAACTTTGTTACTCACGTGGCAATAAAAATGATTCTGATTCTGATTCTGATTCTGATTCTGATTCTGAAGTGTTATCTGCTTCTGTCTTAATTTCCTGACAAGAGGCTTTGTAGCCCGTGGGCCAGTTTCATAGTAGGATTGTTTTAAGAATTTATATTTTTTCTCTTCTTCCTCTTTATAACAGTTTGAGATTTGTGTTTTCTTAAGTTTAATTTCTTCTAAGATTTGATTATTTGGAGTTTCAACTTCTTCTCAAGCTCTCTTAATGACTCTTCTAATTCTTTAAATGTCTTTTCTTTTTCCTTTTTGATAGCTGCACTTAATGATATGAATTGACCTCTAATTACTGCCTTCAACGTGTCCCATAGAATGTTAGGGTTCACCTGAACATTGTCATTTAGTTCTAAAAAGTTTTTTATCTCAGTTTTTATGTCATTTATTACTTTTTTATTATTCAGTAATCCAGTGTTTAACCTCCATATTGTTTTTTTTGGCCTAGAATCCAGATGAAATGTTAGATATAAGGGCGAGTGGTCTGACAAACTCCTGGTACCAATGTCACAACTTTGGATCCTGTGTCTGTCATTAGCCGCCATAAAAAAAAATCTATTCTAGAATGTACTTTGTGAGGGGAAGAGTAAAAAGTGTAATCTCTATCGAGAGGACACATTTCCCGCCAAACGTCGATCAAGCCTAAATCACGAAGACCTTTTTCAGTAATTTACTTTGTGGTGTGACAGTTCTCCTAGTATTGGTCGTATCATTTCTGTGCAGGATTGTGTTGAAATCACCCGCACATATCAGCACCCCTTGTGATTCTGAGGAGATCAGTTCCAAAATTCTCTTTATAAATTTGGTGCCATGATCGGGGGGCATGTAGACTGAGAGAAGAGAAGACAATTTGCCCTCTATTTTACATTGTAAAAGTACAAACCTTCCCTAACAATCTTTTATCTGCTTAATGCACTCAAAATGCACAGTGTTATGTATTAGCACTGCGACTCCACGTTTGTTCCCGGCTTCATGAGAGCTATGAAAAACATTGTTAAATCCAAACTTCTTTAATTTTTCGTGTTCTTTTTGGGATAGGTGAGTTTCTTGAAGAAACATAATTTGCATTCTTTCCTTTTTTATCCATGTCATTACTCGGCTCCTTTTGACAGGGTTGTTGAGACCATTTACATTCCAAGAAGCTGCTCTAATGTTGACACCAGTCATAGTAAATGAATAAGAAAAATCTGCAGACTGTAAACACAAAACAGAACAAGCGGAACAGTAAACAAAACAAAATCACTTCCACTTCCAGGGTTTTCATTGTCCCTGTCTTCCCATCTTCCATTGTCCGTCCTTCCAATACAAATGAGGAGAAAAGCCCTACTCCAGGTAGTAGGGGCTCCTTCTTTGGCAGTACAAAGTCCCTTCTTGAGCACACGTAAAAAACAAAAAGGAATTTGAAGAGTGTCATCTCTTCCCGAACCCGACCAGAATAATGGTTAAAGTAGGTCATCCAAAAACAAAAACTATTCTTTGTAAATCTATACACACACGCACACACAGGAGGAATATATCCTAAATTATTCATTTTTATGTGTATATTCCCTTCAAACAAGATGCGAACCACAAAATGACGGATGATAAACATAAACTAAGATTGCCAATTGCCTGTTCTTACCTTTAGAAACAGTTTAACAAGGCCGAAGCACACTTACTTGCTTCGTCAGCATTGTTTACCAAGAAATGTTAGCTAGTCATTCTGAAACACACGCAGTCTTTCCCGTACTCGCTCAGTAATAATAATAATAATAATAATACATTTTATTTGTGGGCGCCTTTCAAAATTCCCAAGGTCACCTTACAAGCAGCATAAAAACAATATACAACACACATTAAAATACAAAAGATACAATACAATACGAGGCCCAGAAGTAAAATACAGTAGAGTGGCAAAGAGATAAGAGAAGTACGGAGGATTATGTGGGATAGGTGCGTCTGAATAGCTCAGTTTTGAGTCGAGATTTAAATGTGGTGATGGAGTCTATTGCACGAGTGTCTTGTGAGAGATTATTCCAGAGTTTGGGGGCAGAGCGGCTGAAGGCTCTGAGGCCCATGGTGGACATTTTGGCTGGAGGGACAGAGAGTAGAGAGGCAGAGGAGGAGCGGAGTGGGCGGGAGGGTGTGTACGTCTGAAGGAGATCAGACAAGTATGGAGGTGCGAGGTTATGAAGTGCTTTGAAGGTGAGAAGAAGAATTTTGTATTCAATACGGGAGAGAATAGGTAACCAATGAAGCTGTTTGAGAATAGGAGTGATGTGCTGGGCAGAAGGAGTTTTGGTGATGATGCGTGCTGCTGTGTTCTGGACCATTTGAAGTTTATGGAGGGATTTGTTTGGTAGACCATAAAGGAGTGAGTTGCAATAATCAAGACGGGATGTGACCAGGGCATGAACCAGTGTAGCTGTGCTGTTAGGGGTGAGAGACGGACGTAGACGGTTGATGTTGCGGAGATGGAAGTAGGCGGACCGGGTGATGTTGTTTATGTGTGCTGTGAAGGAAAGGGTGCTGTCGAGGATGACACCCAGACTCTTAACCTGAGGGGAAGGGGGGATGGTGCAGTTATCAACAGTGATGGAAAGATTATTGGATTTAGTGAGTGTATGTTTGGATCCCACAAGGAGGAATTCTGTTTTATTACAGTTGAGTTTGAGGAAATTGTGGGAAAACCAGATTTTAATGTCATTAAGACAATCAGAGAGGGCTGAAGGGGGGAGAGTGATCGTGGGCTTGGAGGAGAGGTAGAGCTGGGTGTCATCCGCGTAACAGTGGAAGTTAATGTTGTATTTTCTGAATATATTGCCGAGAGGGAGGAGGTAGATAATAAAAAGCAATGGCCCCAGGACAGAGCCCTGGGGCACACCGCCCGTGACAGTGGAGAGTTTCGATTTATGATTTTGGAGTTGGACAAATTGAGAACGGTCAGAAAGGTATGAGGTGAACCATGAGTGTACTGTATTGCATAAGCCAATGGAGGTGAGCCGGTTGAGGAGGATTGGATGTGAGATTGTGTCAAAAGCAGCTGTGAGATCCAGGAGAATGAGTATGGTGAGGAGTCCAGAGTCTGCTGCTAAAAGAAGGTCATTTGTTATTTTGATGAGTGCTGTTTCAGTGCTATGGGATGAACGAAATCCGGATTGGAATTTTTCACCAGAAAACCAGAATGTCCAGAAAAGAGATGTTAATGGGGGAGATGCCAGTGCAGCAAATCAGATCCAGAATATGGCCTTTTACATGTGTGGGAGAGTTTACGTGTTGAGATAATGAAAAACTGTCTAGACAGGAAGAAAAATCTTTGGTAGTTGTATTGTTTACATTGTCCATATGAATATTGAAGTCACCAACCAAAATTACATTTGAGGACAGAGAGCAGACTGTGGCTAAAAAATCTGTAAAATCAGTTAAAAACTCGGGATTAGGCTTGGGGGGACGATAGACAGCAGCTAGGATTGTGGGAATGCGGCCTTTGATCTGTATGACAAGTGATTCAAATGAGCTATAGACCGGTGTAGTGACTGCAGTTGCTCTGTACCTCTCGTTGTACACTATCGCGAGACCACCGCCGCGTCCAGAGGCACGGGCTTGACAGACGTAAACAAACCCATGTGGTGTTGTAGCGTTGAGCTCAGCGTACTCGTTAGGACGTTGCCATGTCTCAGACAGACAAAGAAAATCAAGTTTGTGGTCCGTGAGGAGATCGCGAACAAAATAGCCCTTGTTACTGAGAGACCTGATGTTCAACTGTCCCACGGAGACGAGGTGGTCACCGGCTCTATCGCTCCCTTCCTTTGCTAGCCGGGCTAGCAGGCTGTGATCCACAGTCCGCCTGCCAGGCTTCCTCGCCGGACGGCGAAAGGAAGACCACGTAGAAGGTATCGGGTTCGTCGTGTCAATGCAGTTGATTCTTCTGGATCCCCGATGGACGTATTTTCGCCGCGGAGGCCAGGCGATGTCCAGATGCTGGAGTATTGCAGGGGGCGGCGCATGGTAACGGGGGAGACGAAGCTGAAGAAGTTCTGCTGCACAGTACCGCAAGGACAGGTACGCAGGCTGGATTATGGAGAGCAGAACCAAGCCTCCGAGGAGAGCCCAGAGGATAGCAGCATTCCAGTTCATGATGCCCCACAGCAACAGGGTGACCGGGAAGCTAGCAGTTAGCCCAGGTAGCCAACAGATGACCAGTGACAGGTAAGGAGATCGCCGACCATAAATGAAAGAATATCAGGCGTAAACTTGTCCAGATGCTGTAGTTGTTATATGTCAGTTTTACGAGTTGAAAACACAACAAGACGGAATAAATAAATCACAGTTTGTGGGGGAGGGAGCAGCGGCAACAATCATGCCAGCGTTCACTTCCATTAGTACTTTTTTGGAGTGTTCCCAGCCTTGTTCCAATGCGTATCACGAGTGAGTACTGTGGTGACAGTTTTTGGAGTAATTACATAAAACCAGCCGCAGCAAATACACGGACGTCAAAGGCCTTTTATCAATGCAGAGACGACCTTCTGACGCCATGCTGAGCTTTGTGAGGGCCCCCTGCTGTCTGTCACACCCTTGTGTCTTTCGTATCTTGAATCTGTATGCCTGCTTATATCCATATGTCCCTGCTGCCAGGAAGGAGCCGGACCCCCCCGACACCTACAGACAATGGCTATCACTCTTGCCCCCTTTCACCTCTTGCATATGTATCGGTCTGTATGTGTGCACTCTCTACATCCTGCACCGGTGGCCCCCCTCCCATCTGTTGTGGGCGGGACTGGCTTTCGTGTGTGTCTTGGATACAGGAAGCTGGGGGCTCTGGCCCCCAGAGCTGGGACATGCTGCTTTTGAGTGGATGTGCTGGCCCTCCGCACGTGCGTGAACAATAAACTTACGCTTTTGACCAGACAAAGGACCTTTGAGTTTCCTCCTTCATGGGGTATATAATTCTATAACAATTTGGCGTTGCTGGCATGTCTTGGCATGGATACTTTCGGCGGGGACGAGCGGCTTTGTTTGGCCGACCTGGATCACCAGCCTCTGTTCCTTTTTGGAGACAAAGGAGGGCGAGCTCGTCCCGCGCACGGAAGGAATCCTTTTGCCACACAAGACCAAAAGAACCTAATCTGGTGAGTCTTGTCTTTTCATCTGCGTAACGAGCCCAGGGCAGCCCTTAAGTGTACACGGGGATTTGTTTATTTATGTATTTTTGGGGTATTTCATTCATTGCCACAGCATAGTCTGTGTGCGGGATTTTTTGGGGGGCTTTTTTGTTCTAGATTGAAACTAGCGGCTGCGCGTTAGTATCGCATTGTAAGCGACCCTGGAATCTCCGAGTGTCTTCAGCCAGAACCGCTCCGTTTTCAAGAACGCGCGCTCGCTGGTTGAACCAGCGGGGGGGGGAACGGAGCGCCCCAAAGTGGGTAGGAGCAGGGAGAGACTAAGCGGGTTAGGCCCATTGTTCGTACGAGAAAATGGGTAAAAAACAATCTAGAAGATGCAAGCTATGAAGTGCTTGCCTATGGTGCAGGTCATCTGCGTGATAATTTAGAAGAAGAAGGGAAGAAAAAAAAAAAATATACTTGGTTTTAAGAATATCACGGCAAAAGAGGTTAGAGAAAGAAATATGTAAAAACAATAGCTCCTCCGCTTTTCACCTAAGCGGAGAACACACAGGCGCACACACACGCCCTCTCTCACCTACTAACCCTTTCACACTAGGAGCAGAACTCCATGCTAAGTACGCGCCCAAACAAGGCGTTGGGTTTTTAAAAAATGAAGCAGACTACTGTTGTCTCTTTTCCCTCTTCCCTATCCAGGTCTGTCGGCGCCTTTCCTCCGCGCTCTGTCCTCTGCCTCAAAGCACCAGCCCCACGCCCCAACCACAGGCGGCGCCCGCACCAGCTGAGACCCCGCGAGAAGTGGGCCCAAACCGCAGAAGAAGAAGAGGCGGAAACAGACACACGCTCAGGAAACCACAGAAGAAGAAGCGGAGGAAGCAAATATGTGAGACACCGACAACTGCTTTGGAGCACAGAGAGAAACTGCTCCAAATCCCGTGACTGTTCTCCACGGAGGGGGCAGCGTGATATACCAAACGCACCCGCGGAAACCCCGTTGAAAGTTGTTCCCGCACCGCAAACAGAAGAAGCCATTGTGACCGGCACGTTTGGGTTATTCACCAACCCTCATGGACCACATGCTAACGCTCTGGGCTACCTGGGCCTCCTGCGGACTTTGAAAAACTTCCACAGCCCGGCGGAAAGACTGTGTGCTCGACATGGGTCGAAGGACTGTTACCGGAGGAGGCGTTAAAGGCAGAGGAACGCTCAAGCTCACACGGGGCCAGAGGACGGCAGAGGCGGGCACGGAGGAAACACGAGCGACTGACCAAACCCGGGTTCACATTCGTCACCAAAGCGACCGCTCATGTAAGTTGAACAACAACAAATTGCAATTGGCACTTTTTAGAGATAATTCATGCCCGTAATATACGCTAACAACCTGTGGTGTACAAGTTAAAATTCTGGATGACTCCGGGGCAACAAATTCTGTGCTAAAAGTGACAGCCTTTCTGTCTCCCCTAAAATGAGCGGCCGCTTCACATTCTAATTAGCAGCGTCGGAGAGACGACTAAAGAGCAATTTACGTCACCGCTAACGTGTTTTGATTCTCAGGGCAACCAGCTTAAACATTCTTTTCTATATTCCCCATTGTGCCCGGTTAATCTACTAGGCCGAGACCTTATGTGCAGACTCAATTAAAAATAGATAAATAAAAGGAGGCACCGGTCCCAAAAGTTAACTACCACTGGAAATTGACACCAAACCCTGAGATTGCTAAGTTATTAGCCACAACAAGTGGATAGTGACGCCCGCACAAAATTTGGAGGTCAACCACGCGAACGACCTAAGCTGCTCTCTCCGGTCGTTCCCAGACAATAACTTGGAGTTTGAAAATTCATGCAGTGTAGTGAAGATAGGCTACAAACGGAGTACGTTTATTGAGATAGGCACCACTATCTGTGCTACTTAATGAGTAACAAAAACATTTTTATCGTGAAACAAAGGTGAAGTATTAAAGTTTGAGACTAATTTACATTTTTAATGAATCCGACCTGGCTTTATTGAAAAAGAAAAAAAATAAGGAAAATAAACATTTTTTTAGGTGACAAGAGCTCATTAGAGATATAGGGGACACAATCTGTGATAAGCCCGAAATACAGACCACGTGGTAAACACTAAAGTTGGAAATGGATCCTTTTAGGAAAACTCTTTTAAAGCTCTGCAGGCTCTGAAAGTTGCAACAATAAGAAATAGCTCATGAGACAATTGGAATTGGACAAAAATATAACAAAGTTAAAAGTACAGGCCTTCTGTGTTGTTACATGTTTGTGTGTGTTATATGTTTTGTGTATGTTATATGTTTGTGTGTCATGTCAAAGTACACTACGCTGACCTTAACAAACTCTGGACCAATACTAACGTGGGGATCGGCCTGTGATGTGACTGTGATGTGACTGTGATATGAGTGTGATGTGTGAAATAAGGAGTGAAATGAGGAGTGCTGAACGGAGAATGGAATAACAAATGTGTCTGTAATGTTTTAATGTGATCATGGAATAATTCTTTTTTGTCAACAGCATACGGTGTAAGTACTAGAGATTCAAAGATAACAAGCTTTATTGAACAGGTGTAAAAGTGAGAGTACTCTGGGATGAGTACTCTGAGAAAAGTACTCTGCGGAAAGTACTCGGAGATGAAATACCTCGCTGAAGATATTGGGAGTTCCTCCCTCTGCTGTTTGCCCTGACAGTGATTCGGTCCAACCGCAGTGAGCGGTCATTGGGCGGAGGACAACTTTGGTTTGTAACTCACATTTAGGGGAGTATAAAATTAGAAACATACATTTTGTTGTTCTGTATTTGGCTACAGCCTCCGCCCTGATGCCACACACCACCTGTCAATGCAGTTATGTTTTGCCCAATTGGGAAAAAGATTGACAAGCGAAAGTGGGCATTTTTTGTGTTTTTTGTGTTCTAATATTTCTTTTTCAGATGAGAGATAAACTACCCCTGCTTCAGGGATGACAGTAGTATGGATCAGGAGCAAATGAGCCTCCACTTTGGCACAAAAGCCCACAATATGAATTGAGGACGATCCGGGAGAAAAGCAACTGGAGATGAACGGAACAGTCGGTACTTTTGCAGCCTCACTGAGGGCCACTGAGACCCACTGCTTACTTCTCAGCAAAACTCGATCCCGTGGCAGCAGGGTTGCCTCGCTGCCTGCGGGCTGTGGCTGCCGCTGAGAAAGCGGCCCTAGCATCACGTGACCTTGTGGGATACACTGAACTAACTTTGCTTGTGCCCCATGCTGTTTCCCTGATCCTGTTAGAGCAGAGGGCCTCTCGCCTTTCTGCGGCTCGTTGGCTGGGGTACAACACGGTGCTCTTTGAACTACGGTGAAGGGATGCACACAGCTGAACCCCTCCTCGCTGCTGCCCACGCCAGAGGAAGGGGAGGCACACTGCTGTATCGCCACAATAGAGCAGAGATGCACTCCCAGGCCAGACCTGAAAGAGGTGCCTCTGACTAATCCTGACTTGATTTTTTTTATACAGACGGAGCCGCGTCACGTGACAACACTGGGAAGAACCGAGTCGGCTATGCTGTGTGTTCTGATTTTGATACTATAGACTCTGGTAGTTTGCCCCACTACCACTCAGCACAAACCGCTGAGCTGGTCGCGCCCACCGGGGCGTGTGAGCTGGCAGCGGGCAAAACTGTTAACATATTCTGTGATACGCGCTATGGTTTCTCTGTGGTGCACGACTGGGAAGCACTGTGGAAACACCGCAATTTTATGAAATCTGATGGTAAACCAATTCTTAATTCCACACAGGTTGAACGTCTGCTGAAAGCTGTAATGTTGCCCTTAGAGATCGCTGTATGCAAATGCCAGGCCCACACTAATGCCACTGATCCCATCTCTGCAGGGAATCGGCGCGCGGACAAGGCAGCGGCATACGCACCTCTACACACACACACACACACTACCTCACTCAAGACGTTGATATTTTCTACTCCAGCAGAGACGCTGCTGTGACAGGGGAATGGGGCTCAACGACGGCATGGTGTGTGTGGCTGGGACCAGACAGCAAACCGTGCCTACCACGGCATTTCTTCAGACAGTTTGCAATTTTAGCACATGGTCGAGACCATGCCTCAGAAGGAGGGATGATGTGTGATTTAATCACACAGAATTGGTATACAAAGGGGTTTACGGCATTTGCACAGAGATTCAGCCAAACATGCGCTATATGCCCCGCGCACAACCCAGGGAAGTCTCAAAAGTATCCAACAGGCTGCTCATCCTCCGCCCCTGCGCCCATTTCAACATGTCCAAAGGGACTTTGTTGAACTCACACCATGCCAAGGTAAGTAATACTGTCTGGGTCTGGCGGATCTCTGGTCCAAATGGACTGAAGTATTTGCAGGCATACACGCCACAAGCAACGCGGTGGTGAAAGCTCTGCTCACAAAAATTGTGCCCCGAGAAAAAATCTCTAGTGACACTGGCAGTCACTTTGTAGCAAAAGTCATTGAGGAAGTGGGTGAATTTCTGGGCATTGATATACGTAAACACTGCAGTTACGCCCCCTGGCCCGGAGGCGCGTGCGAGCGAGAGAATGGCACTCAAAGCTCTGCCGCTAGCCCTCATGTACATGCGCATGAGAGTCCCATTCGAAATCCTCTGTGCCAGACCACCCAACTTGGGCGCGGGACCCCCGAACAGAGATCTGCCAAGCACCTCTTTGTGTGATGACGACATGCTGTCCTATTGTAAGGAAATTAATGCACTTTTGTCCTCTATTTCTGCCCAGGTCAGGAGCGCCCTGCCACAGGCTGCGCAGGCGACTGGGTCCTGATGAAGGAAACGAGACGAAAGCATTGGCGGTCCAAGCGCTGGCTCGGCCCATTCCTCGCCCTCCTGGTGACGGACACTGCCGTTAAGGTCGCGGAGAGGACAACTTGGATCCACGCCAACCACTGTCGTGCGGTGCTGCCACTGAGGGCCATAGACGAGGACACCGAGGGCGCGGACGGACCAGGCCCATCCGCGGCTCCCTACGCTGAAGAAGTTGGCCGGCGTGCGGCCACCGTCGGTGAAGCAGGCCAACAACAACACCCAGAGAATCCCAGCGTTCCCGAGGCGACCCCCCTTTTGCCCAACTCCCCAGCCCCCGGATCCCAAGGCTTGGGAGCCATGAAGGCCCTGAGCGCTCTGCTCAGCTGCAGCAAGTATGCAGAGCTGCTGCCCATTCCAAAGATTTCTCCAGAGCTTGTTCCCTCTGGCCATAATGCAGATTTGAGCTCTGCTGGAGTGCCCCCTGGTGCCTCGTCTCCCGTGTGTCCGGAGGAGGTGGAGATGAGGGCTGCTCTACAGTTCCTGATGAGGCACATGGTGAAGCGTGCTGTCATGAGGTCTCCCATCAAACGAGCTTTGGGCCTGGCCGATCTGGAGCGTGCTCAAGCCATGGTCTCCACACCCCAAACCCCGAGCACTCTGCCCAACCGAGTGCTGAGGCCAAGGCTTCAACGCAATTAGAGTCTTGCCGCTCCAAGACCAAACATCGCCATGACCACTAACGCTCCACACACGCTCATAGGGAGCGGTGCCACTGACTGCGAGACGGCACTGCTCGTGAGTATTCCCGCGGAAAAGACTACCGAACGTAGCCCGGCTAAGACCGGAATGGGCCCTTGGACTGTTATGCTGGCCACACTGACACTACTTTCCGTGCTGACCGTGTTTATTATGTTAATATTGTCTTCTCTTATCGCTGTCCGGATCCATTGTGTTATTATAATGTGCTCTTTCTTTTATTGACAAGCATGCTTCTTTTCTTGTCCACTTTGGACAGCAATAATTTAAGTGTTTCAAGCTTGAAGGTGGTGTGATTACGATGCCTCTGGTATTTAACTGATTAATGCAAAAATGGTTTTGAATTATCAAAAGAGGGGAGTGTGGTGACAGTTTTTGGAGTAATTACATAAAACCAGCCGCAGCAAATACACGGACGTCAAAGGCCTTTTATCAATGCAGAGACGCCCTTCTGACGCCATGCTGAGCTTTGTGAGGGCCCCCTGCTGTCTGTCACACCCTTGTGTCTTTCGTATCTTGAATCTGTATGCCTGCTTATATCCATATGTCCCTGCTGCCAGGAAGGAGCCGGACCCCCCCGACACCTACAGACAATGGCTATCACTCTTGCCCCCTTTCACCTCTTGCATATGTATCGGTCTGTATGTGTGCACTCTCTACATCCTGCACCGGTGGCCCCCCTCCCATCTGTTGTGGGCGGGACTGGCTTTCGTGTGTGTCTTGGATACAGGAAGCTGGGGGCTCTGGCCCCCAGAGCTGGGACATGCTGCTTTTGAGTGGATGTGCTGGCCCTCCGCACGTGCGTGAACAATAAACTTACGCTTTTGACCAGACAAAGGACCTTTGAGTTTCCTCCTTCATGGGGTATATAATTCTATAACAGTACCTGCTCCCAGTCCGTATGCGAAGAGCAGGGGATCTCCACAGAAAGGCCTCTCTTCCTCGCGTCCTCCGCCGCCTCTTTCGCTGTCTTGTACACGCTGGACCGTCCTCCCAATGGACTCTGTTTCGCAGGATACGGTGTCTGAAAGCGTATCTTTGCTTCTTTAAGGGACTTCTTAATGTCCTTGTATTCCTTCATTTTATTGTTTATCTCCGTGGGCATGTCATTGGCAAACGTAATAACTTTACCGTCAAAGATGATCTTCTTCGCCCCGGCTGCACGTAACACTTTGTCCTTCATATCAAACCTTTGAAAGTTGACTAGAATGGATCTAGCGGCATGTTTATCCTGTGGCTTTGGCCCCAGAGAGCGATGAGCGCGTTGGATCTGCAAATCCTCCTCCTCTCGCAGGGAAAGTTCCCTCTTCAGAAAAGTGTCCATAAAGGATGACATAGAGCTACCTTCTGCATTCTCACTGATGTTATTTACACGGAGGTTATTTCGTCTGGATCGGCCCTCCAAATCATTTTTGTCATCAGGGTTTTCTGTTTGACCGAGTGTAGGAGCGCGTCTCTTAGATCCTTGTTCGCAGATTCGAGTTCACCAAAACGCTGTTCAGATTCCGCCAGACGCGTGCCTTGGTTTCGAATATCCGCAGTAATATTCAGAAGCTTCTGGTTAATCTCCGTTTTGAAATGCGCCAGTTCTTGTTTTATTTCGTCCTTCATTTCTGTCATTTTATTGGACAAGCACATTATAGCTTTAGCCGTGGTTAGCTCCTCCGTAGCTTCAGCTAGCTCTAGCTGGTTTTCCATGTTAGCCTCGTTATCCTCCGTGTCCTCCGCGGTCACCTCCCTCGTGTCAGTCATCCTTGGTTGCCTGGAATCTAGTTACACGCCTCATATTTGAATAAAATAATTAAAGCAAGTTTTTTCTCGAGTTCCGTGAACTTTTTTACAACTTCTGGTCGGGAGCGGAGAAGAGTCACTCCGCCATCTTGAAAAGCTCGCCGGAAGTCCTTTTACGCACTAATTTTTGTGACGTTAATTAATCGTAATAAACGCGTTAAAGTCCCGCCCTAATGATTATAATATTGATTATATTCATATTATTAATATTATTAATATTGACTCTATTACTATAATAATAATACAAAAGATAATGATAGATTTCTGATCCTGGTTCTTACTTGTTTCCCACATGGTCCTGGAGTTGGGTCAGAGCTGCACAGCTGCTCCTCACAGTACGGAGACTCGCAAGAACCTGCACAGGACCAACATACCAGGAATGGACCAAGACTGGACCAGCACTGCACCAGGACTGGTCTCTCTAACTGGTCTCCCTGTGATTTCTCTCTGGTCTTTCTCTGGTCTCGCTCTGGTCTCTCTCTCTGGTCTCTCTCTGGTCTCGCTCTGGTCTCTCTCTCTGGTCTCTCTCTGGTCTCTCTCTGGTCTCTATCTGGTCTCTCTCTGGTCTCGCTCTGGTCTCTCTCACTGGTCTCTCTCTGGTGTGTACCATGTGACTGACCTGAGCGAATGGTGTGACGATCATGTCTTCACCGTGTCTGAAACAAAAACCACAGAAAAAGCTTTTGTTGCAGGTGCTTCATAGTCCAGGAGCAGACAGAGAGACCAGAGAGAGACCAGAGAGAGACCAGAGAGAGACCAGAGGGAGACCAGAGAGAGACCAGCTGGTCTGACTTACAGGTCGCTGGTTGTGGAGGAGTTCCGGGACATGGCTTTGGGCGACAGGTCGAAGTCAGAGTCAGAGCGATAGAGGAAGGACTCTCTCCTCTGGCTGTGGGGGTAGTTGGCCTGAAGGACCAGACCTGATCCATACCCCGATCCAGGACCTGATCCAGGACCTGATCCAGGACTGGTCTGGAAGTCCAGGGGGCAGCGGCCGACAGACAATCCATTCTCCAAATCGAATCTGAGACAGAGGTCAGATTTTACAGAAACAGTTTTCTCCAAAACATCTTTATACAGAGAAACTAGCTCTGCTGCTCCCCCTGGTGGAACAGTTACAGTCTCTCTGGTCTCTCTCTGGTCTCTCTCTGGTCCCTCTCTGGTCTCTCTCTGGTCTCTCTCTCTGGTCCCTCTCTCTGGTCTCTCTCTGGTCTCTCTCTCTGGTCCCTCTCTGGTCTCTCTCTGGTCTCTCTCTGGTCTCTCTTTCTGGTCTCTCTCTGGTCTCTCTCTGGTCTCTCTCTGGTCTCTCTCTCTGGTCTCTCTCTGGTCTCTCTCTCTGGTCTCTCTCTGGTCTCTCTCTCTGGTCTCTCTCTGGTCTCTCTCTCTGGTCTCTCTCTCTGGTCTCTCTCTGGTCTCTCTCTGGTCTCTCTTTCTGGTCTCTCTCTGGTCTCTCTCTCTGGTCTCTCTCTCTGGTCTCTCTCTCTGGTCTCTCTCTGGTCTCTCTCTCTGGTCTCTCTCTGGTCTCTCTCTCGGGTCTCTCTCGGGTCTCTCTCTCTGGTCTCTCTCTGGTCTCTCTGGTCTCTCTCTGGTCTCTCTCTGGTCTCTCTCTGGTCTCTCTCTCTGGTCTCTCTCTGGTCTCTCTCTCTGGTCTCTCTCTCTCTGGTCTCTCTCTGGTCTCTCTCTGGTCTCTCTCTCTGGTCTCTCTCGGGTCTCTCTCTCTGGTCTCTCTCTGGTCTCTCTGGTCTCTCTCTGGTCTCTCTCTGGTCTCTCTCTGGTCTCTCTCTCTGGTCTCTCTCTGGTCTCTCTCTCTGGTCTCTCTCTGGTCTCTCTCTCTGGTCTCTCTCTGGTCTCTCTCTCTGGTCTCTCTCTCTGGTCTCTCTCTGGTCTCTCTCTCTGGTCTCTCTCTCTGGTCTCTCTCTGGTCTCTCTCTCTGGTCTCTCTCTGGTCTCTCTCTCTGGTCTCTCTCTGGTCTCTCTCTGGTCTCTCTCTCTGGTCTCTCTCTGGTCTCTCTCTCTGGTCTCTCTCTGGTCTCTCTCTGGTCTCTCTCTCTGGTCTCTCTCTGGTCTCTCTCTCTGGTCTCTCTCTGGTCTCTCTCTCTGGTCTCTCTCTGGTCTCTCTCTCTGGTCTCTCTCTGGTCTCTCTCTCTGGTCTCTCTCTGGTCTCTCTCTCTGGTCTCTCTCTGGTCTCTCTCTCTGGTCTCTCTCTGGTCTCGCTCTCTGGTCTCTCTCTCTGGTCTCTCTCTGGTCTCTCTCTCTGGTCTCTCTCTGGTCTCTCTCTGGTCTCTGAAAGAACTACTGTTGTGGTTTAGGGCGATACAAGAATAAAATGAATAGAATTGAACTTTGTGAGTAAGTGCAATACAGGTCTGTTAGTGCAATACTGGTCTGTAAGTGCAATACAGGTCTGTTAGTGCAATACAGGTCTGTAAGTGCAATACAGGTCTGTTAGTGCAATACAGGTCTGTAAGTGCAATACAGGTCTGTTAGTGCAATACAGGTCTGTAAGTGCAATACAGGTCTGTAAGTGCAATACAGGTCTGTTAGTGCAATACAGGTCTGTTAGTGCAATACAGGTCTGTTAGTGCAATACAGGTCTGTTAGTGCAATACAGGTCTGTTAGTGCAATACAGGTCTGTTATTGCAATACAGGTCTGTAAGTGCAATACAGGTCTGTTAGTGCAATATAGGTCTGTTAGAGCAATACAGGTCTGTTAGTACAATACAGGTCTGTAAGTGCAATACAGGTCTGTTAGTGCAATACAGGTCTGTAAGTGCAATACAGGTCTGTAAGTGCAATATAGGTCTGTTAGAGCAATACAGGTCTGTTAGAGCAATACAGGTCTGTAAGTGCAATATAGGTCTGTTAGAGCAATACAGGTCTGTAAGTGCAATACAGGTCTGTTAGTGCAATACAGGTCTGTAAGCGCAATACAGGTCTGTTAGTGCAATATAGGTCTGTTAGAGCAATACAGGTCTGTTAGTACAATACAGGTCTGTTAGTGCAATACAGGTCTGTTAGAGCAATACAGGTCTGTTAGAGCAATACAGGTCTGTTAGAGCAATACAGGTCTGTTAGTGCAATACAGGTCTGTTAGAGCAATACAGGTCTGTTAGAGCAATACAGGTCTGTAAGTGCAATACAGGTCTGTTAGTGCAATACAGGTCTGTTAGTGCAATACAGGTCTGTAAGTGCAATACAGGTCTGTTAGTGCAAAACTGGTCTGTAAGCGCTATACAGGTCTGTAAGTGCAATACAGGTTTGTTAGTGCAATACAGGTCTGTTAGTGCAATATAGGTCTGTTAGAGCAATACAGGTCTGTTAGTGCAATACAGGTCTGTTAGAGCAATACAGGTCTGTTAGAGCAATACAGGTCTGTAAGTGCAATACAGGTCTGTTAGTGCAATACAGGTCTGTTAGTGCAATACAGGTCTGTTAGTGCAATACAGGTCTGTAAGTGCAATACAGGTCTGTAAGTGCAATACAGGTCTGTAAGTGCAATACAGGTCTGTTAGTGCAATACAGGTCTGTTATTGCAATACAGGTCTGTAAGTGCAATACAGGTCTGTTAGTGCAATATAGGTCTGTTAGAGCAATACAGGTCTGTTAGTGCAATACAGGTCTGTAAGTGCAATACAGGTCTGTTAGTGCAATACAGGTCTGTAAGTGCAATACAGGTCTGTAAGTGCAATACAGGTCTGTTAGTGCAATACAGGTCTGTTATTGCAATACAGGTCTGTAAGTGCAATACAGGTCTGTTAGTGCAATATAGGTCTGTTAGAGCAATACAGGTCTGTTAGTGCAATACAGGTCTGTTAGAGCAATACAGGTCTGTTAGAGCAATACAGGTCTGTAAGTGCAATACAGGTCTGTTAGTGCAATACAGGTCTGTTAGTGCAAAACTGGTCTGTAAGTGCAATACAGGTCTGTTAGTGCAATATAGGTCTGTTAGAGCAATACAGGTCTGTTAGAGCAATACAGGTCTGTTAGTGCAATACAGGTCTGTTAGTGCAATACAGGTCTGTTAGTGCAATACAGGTCTGTTAGAGCAATACAGGTCTGTTAGTGCAATATAGGTCTGTTAGAGCAATACAGGTCTGTTAGTACAATACAGGTCTGTAAGTGCAATACAGGTCTGTTAGTGCAATACAGGTCTGTAAGTGCAATACAGGTCTGTAAGTGCAATACAGGTCTGTAAGTGCAATACAGGTCTGTTAGTGCAATACAGGTCTGTAAGTGCAATACAGGTCTGTAAGTGCAATACAGGTTTGTAAGTGCAATACAGGTCTGTTAGAGCAATACAGGTCTGTAAGTGCAATACAGGTCTGTTAGTGCAATATAGGTCTGTTAGAGCAATACAGGTCTGTTAGTACAATACAGGTCTGTAAGTGCAATACAGGTTTGTTAGTGCAATACAGGTCTGTAAGTGCAATACAGGTCTGTAAGTGCAATACAGGTCTGTTAGAGCAATACAGGTCTGTTAGTGCAATACAGGTTTGTTAGAGCAATACAGGTCTGTTAGAGCAATACAGGTCTGTAAGTGCAATATAGGTCTGTTAGAGCAATACAGGTCTGTAAGTGCAATACAGGTCTGTTAGTGCAATACAGGTCTGTAAGCGCAATACAGGTCTGTTAGTGCAATACAGGTCTGTAAGCGCAATACAGGTCTGTTAGTGCAATATAGGTCTGTTAGAGCAATACAGGTCTGTTAGTACAATACAGGTCTGTAAGTGCAATACAGGTCTGTTAGTGCAATACAGGTCTGTAAGTGCAATACAGGTCTGTAAGTGCAATACAGGTTTGTTAGAGCAATACAGGTCTGTTAGAGCAATACAGGTCTGTAAGTGCAATATAGGTCTGTTAGAGCAATACAGGTCTGTAAGTGCAAAACTGGTCTGTAAGTGCAATACAGGTCTGTTAGTGCAATATAGGTCTGTTAGAGCAATACAGGTCTGTAAGTGCAATATAGGTCTGTTAGAGCAATACAGGTCTGTTAGAGCAATACAGGTCTGTTAGAGCAATACAGGTCTGTTAGAGCAATACAGGTCTGTTAGAGCAATACAGGTCTGTTAGTGCAATACAGGTCTGTTAGAGCAATACAGGTCTGTAAGTGCAATACAGGTCTGTTAGTGCAAAACTGGTCTGTAAGCGCAATACAGGTCTGTAAGCGCAATACAGGTCTGTTAGTGCAATACAGGTCTGTAAGTGCAATACAGGTCTGTTATTGCAATACAGGTCTGTAAGTGCAATACAGGTCTGTTAGTGCAATACAGGTCTGTAAGTGCAATACAGGTCTGTTATTGCAATACAGGTCTGTAAGTGCAATACAGGTCTGTTAGTGCAATATAGGTTTGTTAGAGCAATATAGGTCTGTTAGAGCAATACAGGTCTGTTAGTGCAATACAGGTCTGTTAGAGCAATACAGGTCTGTTAGAGCAATACAGGTCTGTTAGAGCAATACAGGTCTGTAAGTGCAATACAGGTCTGTTAGTGCAATATAGGTCTGTAAGTGCAATATAGGTCTGTAAGCGCAATACAGGTCTGTTAGTGCAATATAGGTCTGTTAGAGCAATACAGGTCTGTTAGTACAATACAGGTCTGTAAGTGCAATACAGGTCTGTTAGTGCAATACAGGTCTGTAAGTGCAATACAGGTCTGTTATTGCAATACAGGTCTGTAAGTGCAATACAGGTCTGTTAGTGCAATATAGGTCTGTTAGAGCAATACAGGTCTGTTAGAGCAATACAGGTCTGTTAGTGCAATACAGGTCTGTTAGAGCAATACAGGTCTGTAAGTGCAATACAGGTCTGTTAGTGCAAAACTGGTCTGTAAGCGCAATACAGGTCTGTTAGTGCAATACAGGTCTGTAAGTGCAATACAGGTTTGTTAGTGCAATACAGGTTTGTTAGAGCAATACAGGTCTGTTAGAGCAATACAGGTCTGTTAGAGCAATACAGGTCTGTAAGTGCAATACAGGTCTGTTAGAGCAATACAGGTCTGTAAGTGCAATACAGGTCTGTAAGTGCAATACAGGTCTGTTAGAGCAATACAGGTCTGTTAGAGCAATACAGGTCTGTTAGAGCAATACAGGTCTGTTAGTGCAATACAGGTCTGTTAGAGCAATACAGGTCTGTAAGTGCAATACAGGTCTGTTAGTGCAAAACTGGTCTGTAAGCGCAATACAGGTCTGTAAGCGCAATACAGGTCTGTTAGAGCAATACAGGTCTGTTAGAGCAATACAGGTCTGTTAGAGCAATACAGGTCTGTTAGTGCAATACAGGTCTGTTAGAGCAATACAGGTCTGTAAGTGCAATACAGGTCTGTTAGTGCAAAACTGGTCTGTAAGCGCAATACAGGTCTGTAAGTGCAATACAGGTCTGTAAGTGCAATACAGGTCTGTTAGTGCAATATAGGTCTGTTAGAGCAATACAGGTCTGTTAGTGCAATACAGGTCTGTAAGTGAAATACAGGTCTGTAAGTGCAATACAGGTCTGTAAGTGCAATACAGGTCTGTTAGAGCAATACAGGTCTGTTAGTGCAATACAGGTCTGTTAGTGCAATACAGGTCTGTAAGTGCAATACAGGTCTGTTAGAGCAAGATAAAAAGCCATCGAGCCATTGAGTTTAAAATAAAAATGATTTGCACAAACATACAACGGTGCAGCAGGAGGTGCTCAGAGGAGGAGGTGCTCCGAGGAGGAGGTGCTTTGAGGAGGAGGTGCTCAGAGGAGGAAGTGCTAAGAGGAGGAGGTGCTCAGAGGAGGAGGTGCTAAGAGGAGGAAGTGCTAAGAGGAGGAGGTGCTCAGAGGAGGAGGTGCTTTGAGGAGGAGGTGCTAAGAGGAGGAGGTGCTTTGATGAGGAGGTGCTAAGAGGAGGAGGTGCTCAGAGGAGGAAGTGCTAAGAAGAGGAGTGATCAGTTTATCACTGAGGGTGAGAAGCAGCACTGACCGTAGCTCGTCATGTCCGGCCAGGGCCCGAGAGTACAGGCCCTGCAGGTGGGCCAGGGCCTCTGGGTGGACCTCCGGGTGGACCTCCGGGTGGACCTCCGGGTGGACCTCTGGGTGGAACAGGGGCCGATGGTGTGTGGAGAGACCCTGAAACGAGTGCCTCCGGGACAGAGGGGGCAGCAGCAGAGGACCAGAGAACCTCCTCCGCACGACCTGAGGAGGGAGTCCATCCTGCACACACCAGGAACGGATTACACTATGTGTTCTACTGTCTCTATCTCTGGTCTCGCTCTGGTCTCTCTCTCTGGTCTCTCTCTGGTCTCTCTCTCTGGTCTCTCTCTGGTCTCTCTCTCTGGTCTCTCTCTGGTCTCTCTCTGGTCTCTCTCTGGTCTCTCTCTCTGGTCTCTCTCTGGTCTCTCTCTGGTCTCTCTCTGGTCTCTCTCTGGTCTCTCTCTGGTCTCTCTCTCTGGTCTCTCTCTCTGGTCTCTCTCTGGTCTCTCTCTCTGGTCTCTCTCTGGTCTCTCTCTAGTCTCTCTCTAGTCTCTCTCTGGTCTCTCTCTCTGGTCTCTCTCTCTGGTCTCTCTCTCTGGTCTCTCTCTCTGATCTCTCTCTCTGATCTCTCTCTCTGGTCTCTCTCTCTGGTCTCTCTCTCTGGTCTCTCTCTCTGGTCTCTCTCTCTGGTCTCTCTCTCTGGTCTCTCTCTCTGGTCTCTCTCTCTCTGGTCTCTCTCTCTGGTCTCTCTCTCTGGTCTCTCTCTCTGGTCTCTCTCTGGTCTCTCTCTCTGGTCTCTCTCTCTGGTCTCTCTCTCTGGTCTCTCTCTAGTCTCTCTCTGGTCTCTCTCTCTGGTCTCTCTCTCTGGTCTCTCTCTAGTCTCTCTCTGGTCTCTCTCTCTGGTCTCTCTCTCTGGTCTCTCTTTCTGGTCTCTCTCTGGTCTCTCTCTCTGGTCTCTCTCTCTGGTCTCTCTCTCTGGTCTCTCTCTCTGGTCTCTCTCTCTGGTCTCTCTCTCTGGTCTCTCTCTCTGGTCTCTCTCTCTGGTCTCTCTCTCTGGTCTCTCTCTCTGGTCTCTCTCTCTGGTCTCTCTCTCTGGTCTCTCTCTCTGGTCTCTCTCTCTGGTCTCTCTCTCTGGTCTCTCTCTCTGGTCTCTCTCTCTGGTCTCTCTCTCTGGTCTCTCTCTCTGGTCTCTCTCTGGTCTCTCTCTCTGGTCTCTCTCTCTGGTCTCTCTATGACTCATTGATGAGTGAGAAGTGTCGTAAAGGTAAATGTTTAGAGACTAAAGACGTCACTGAGACAGAGTGAACTTTGCTTCATGGTTTCGGACCATCGTAAATATGAAACTCCTCAGTCTATAGTTCACGTCCAAACATTTTCCATTTAGCCTCTTTCCACCGTTAACACAATAAATACATACAAGAAGAATATTAATAATAATATTATTATATTAGAGTCTCTGGTATGAAAACCTGGACACCACCTGGACACCACCTGGTCCTAGTGACCATGAAGGACGAACGGCCCTGACCATGAAGGACGAACGGCCCTGACCATGAAGGACAAACGGCCCTGACCATGAAGCACGAACGGCCCTGACCATGAAGCACGAACGGCCCTGACCATGAAGGACGAACGGCCGTGACCATGAAGGACGAACGGCCCTGACCATGAAGGGCCCTGTAAGGGCTGCAGTCCAACTACCGCTAATAACATGGAAGACACCAGAGGAGCCAAACACCAGAGGAGCTGAACACCAGAGGAGACCAGCACCAGAGAAGCCAAACACCAGCTCCTGTAGACACCAGAGGAGCCCAGCACCAGCTCCTGTAGACACCAGAGGAGCCCAGCACCAGCTCCTGTAGACACCAGAGGAGACCAGCACCAGCTCCTGTAGACACCAGAGGAGACCAACAGCTCCTGGTTGCTGGTCACGACACACAAAGCTGAGCACAGATCGATTACCAGAAAGCCTTTGACTCAATGCCACACATGGTTCATGGAATGCCTGAAACTGGACAACATCAACAGGGCTCTAAGGGACTTGGTTCAAACCATGTGGAAGACCACCCTGCAGGGACTATCGCACACGTGACCATCAATGTGGGATATACCAAGAACCTGCTCTGGCCCCCTGCTCTTCTGCAGAAGTGGCTCAGCACGACAAGTCCTACCACATGGTTAGACTGGTCTACAGGACCGAGACCAGAGGGGACCCATGGTACAGATACACCACACCAGATGAGACCCATGGTACAGATATACCACACCAGAGGAGACCCATGGTACAGATATACCACACCAGAGGAGACCCATGGTACAGATATACCACACCAGAGGAGACCCATGGTACAGATATACCACACCAGAGGAGACCCATGGTACAGATATACCACACCAGAGGAGACCCATGGTACAGATATACCACACCAGAGGAGACCCATGGTACAGATATACCACACCAGAGGAGACCCATGGTACAGATATACCACACCAGAGGAGACCCATGGTACAGATATACCACACCAGAGGAGACCCATGGTACAGATATACCACACCAGAGGAGACCCATGGTACAGATATACCACACCAGAGGAGACCCATGGTACAGATATACCACACCAGAGGAGACCCATGGTACAGATATACCACACCAGAGGAGACCCATGGTACAGATATACCACACCAGAGGAGACTCATGGTACAGATATACCACACCAGAGGAGACCCATGGTGTCGGTTGTGCAAAGAGGTACCTGAGACGATCCAACAGATAACTGCAGGGGACGCCATAACCAAGAGGCTGGCATAGTGTACAGAAACATCTGTGCAGAGTATGGGCTGGAAACCCCAAGGTCTAAGTGATGAGAGAGTCTGAAGGTAAAGGAGACAGTAGTGAGAGAGTCTGAAGGTAAAGGAGACAGTAGTGAGAGAGTCTGAAGGTAAAGGAGACAGTAGTGAGAGAGTCTGAAGGTAAAGGAGACAGTAGTGAGAGAGTCTGAAGGTAAAGGAGACAGTAGTGAGAGAGTCTGAAGGTAAAGGAGACAGTAGTGAGAGAGTCTGAAGGTAAAGGAGACAGTAGTGAGAGAGTCTGAAGGTAAAGGAGACAGTAGTGAGAGAGTCTGAAGGTAAAGGAGACAGTAGTGAGAGAGTCTGAAGGTAAAGGAGACAGTAGTGAGAGAGTCTGAAGGTAAAGGAGACAGTAGTGAGAGAGTCTGAAGGTAAAGGAGACAGTAGTGAGAGAGTCTGAAGGTAAAGGAGACAGTAGTGAGAGAGTCTGAAGGTAAAGGAGACAGTAGTGAGAGAGTCTGAAGGTAAAGGAGACAGTAGTGAGAGAGTCTGAAGGTAAAGGAGACAGTAGTGAGAGAGTCTGAAGGTAAAGGAGAGAGTAGTGAGAGAGTCTGAAGGTAAAGGAGACAGTAGTGAGAGAGTCTGAAGGTAAAGGAGACAGTAGTGAGAGAGTCTGAAGGTAAAGGAGACAGTAGTGAGAGAGTCTGAAGGTAAAGGAGACAGTAGTGAGAGAGTCTGAAGGTAAAGGAGACAGTAGTGAGAGAGTCTGAAGGTAAAGGAGACAGTAGTGAGAGAGTCTGAGGGTAAAGGAGACAGTAGTGAGAGAGTCTGAAGGTAAAGGAGACAGTAGTGAGAGAGTCTGAAGGTAAAGGTGACAGTAGTGAGAGAGTCTGAAGGTAAAGGAGACAGTAGTGAGAGAGTCTGAAGGTAAAGGAGACAGTAGTGAGAGAGTCTGAAGGTAAAGGAGACAGTAGTGAGAGAGTCTGAAGGTAAAGGAGACAGTAGTGAGAGAGTCTGAAGGTAAAGGAGATAGTAGTGAGAGAGTCTGAAGGTAAAGGAGACAGTAGTGAGAGAGTCTGAAGGTAAAGGAGACAGTAGTGAGAGAGTCTGAAGGTAAAGGAGACAGTAGTGAGAGAGTCTGAAGGTAAAGGAGACAGTAGTGAGAGAGTCTGAAGGTAAAGGAGACAGTAGTGAGAGAGTCTGAAGGTAAAGGAGACAGTAGTGAGAGAGTCTGAAGGTAAAGGAGACAGTAGTGAGAGAGTCTGAAGGTAAAGGAGACAGTAGTGAGAGAGTCTGAAGGTAAAGGAGACAGTAGTGAGAGAGTCTGAAGGTAAAGGAGACAGTAGTGAGAGAGTCTGAAGGTAAAGGAGACAGTAGTGAGAGAGTCTGAAGGTAAAGGAGACAGTAGTGAGAGAGTCTGAAGGTAAAGGAGACAGTAGTGAGAGAGTCTGAAGGTAAAGGAGACAGTAGTGAGAGAGTCTGAAGGTAAAGGAGACAGTAGTGAGAGAGTCTGAAGGTAAAGGAGACAGTAGTGAGAGAGTCTGAAGGTAAAGGAGACAGTAGTGAGAGAGTCTGAAGGTAAAGGAGACAGTAGTGAGAGAGTCTGAAGGTAAAGGAGACAGTAGTGAGAGAGTCTGAAGGTAAAGGAGACAGTAGTGAGAGAGTCTGAAGGTAAAGGAGACAGTAGTGAGAGAGTCTGAAGGTAAAGGAGACAGTAGTGAGAGAGTCTGAAGGTAAAGGAGACAGTAGTGAGAGAGTCTGAAGGTAAAGGAGACAGTAGTGAGAGAGTCTGAAGGTAAAGGAGACAGTAGTGAGAGAGTCTGAAGGTAAAGGAGACAGTAGTGAGAGAGTCTGAAGGTAAAGGAGACAGTAGTGAGAGAGTCTGAAGGTAAAGGAGACAGTAGTGAGAGAGTCTGAAGGTAAAGGAGACAGTAGTGAGAGAGTCTGAAGGTAAAGGAGACAGTAGTGAGAGAGTCTGAAGGTAAAGGAGACAGTAGTGAGAGAGTCTGAAGGTAAAGGAGACAGTAGTGAGAGAGTCTGAAGGTAAAGGAGACAGTAGTGAGAGAGTCTGAAGGTAAAGGAGACAGTAGTGAGAGAGTCTGAAGGTAAAGGAGACAGTAGTGAGAGAGTCTGAAGGTAAAGGAGACAGTAGTGAGAGAGTCTGAAGGTAAAGGAGACAGTAGTGAGAGAGTCTGAAGGTAAAGGAGACAGTAGTGAGAGAGTCTGAAGGTAAAGGAGACAGTAGTGAGAGAGTCTGAAGGTAAAGGAGACAGTAGTAGAGAGTCTGAAGGTAAAGGAGACAGTAGTGAGAGAGTCTGAAGGTAAAGGAGACAGTAGTGAGAGAGTCTGAAGGTAAAGGAGACAGTAGTGAGAGAGTCTGAAGGTAAAGGAGACAGTAGTGAGAGAGTCTGAAGGTAAAGGAGACAGTAGTGAGAGAGTCTGAAGGTAAAGGAGACAGTAGTGAGAGAGTCTGAAGGTAAAGGAGACAGTAGTGAGAGAGTCTGAAGGTAAAGGAGACAGTAGTGAGAGAGTCTGAGGGTAAAGGAGACAGTAGTGAGAGAGTCTGAAGGTAAAGGAGACAGTAGTGAGAGAGTCTGAAGGTAAAGGAGACAGTAGTGAGAGAGTCTGAAGGTAAAGGAGACAGTAGTGAGAGAGTCTGAAGGTAAAGGAGACAGTAGTGAGAGAGTCTGAAGGTAAAGGAGACAGTAGTGAGAGAGTCTGAAGGTAAAGGAGACAGTAGTGAGAGAGTCTGAAGGTAAAGGAGACAGTAGTGAGAGAGTCTGAAGGTAAAGGAGACAGTAGTGAGAGAGTCTGAAGGTAAAGGAGACAGTAGTGAGAGAGTCTGAAGGTAAAGGAGACAGTAGTGAGAGAGTCTGAAGGTAAAGGAGACAGTAGTGAGAGAGTCTGAAGGTAAAGGAGACAGTAGTGAGAGAGTCTGAAGGTAAAGGAGACAGTAGTGAGAGAGTCTGAGGGTAAAGGAGACAGTAGTGAGAGAGTCTGAAGGTAAAGGAGACAGTAGTGAGAGAGTCTGAAGGTAAAGGAGACAGTAGTGAGAGAGTCTGAAGGTAAAGGAGACAGTAGTGAGAGAGTCTGAAGGTAAAGGAGAGAGTAGTGAGAGAGTCTGAAGGTAAAGGAGACGGTAGTGAGAGAGTCTGAAGGTAAAGGAGAGAGTAGTGAGAGAGTCTGAGGGTAAAGGAGACAGTAGTGAGAGAGTCTGAAGGTAAAGGAGACAGTAGTGAGAGAGTCTGAGGGTAAAGGAGACAGTAGTGAGAGAGTCTGAAGGTAAAGGAGACAGTAGTGAGAGAGTCTGAAGGTAAAGGAGACAGTAGTGAGAGAGTCTGAAGGTAAAGGAGACAGTAGTGAGAGAGTCTGAAGGTAAAGGAGACGGTAGTGAGAGAGTCTGAAGGTAAAGGAGACAGTAGTGAGAGAGTCTGAAGGTAAAGGAGACAGTAGTGAGAGAGTCTGAAGGTAAAGGAGACAGTAGTGAGAGAGTCTGAAGGTAAAGGAGACAGTAGTGAGAGAGTCTGAAGGTAAAGGAGACGGTAGTGAGAGAGTCTGAAGGTAAAGGAGACAGTAGTGAGAGAGTCTGAAGGTAAAGGAGACAGTAGTGAGAGAGTCTGAAGGTAAAGGAGACAGTAGTGAGAGAGTCTGAAGGTAAAGGAGACAGTAGTGAGAGAGTCTGAAGGTAAAGGAGACAGTAGTGAGAGAGTCTGAGGGTAAAGGAGACAGTAGTGAGAGAGTCTGAAGGTAAAGGAGACAGTAGTGAGAGAGTCTGAGGTAAAGGAGACAGTAGTGAGAGAGTCTGAAGGTAAAGGAGACAGTAGTGAGAGAGTCTGAAGGTAAAGGAGACAGTAGTGAGAGAGTCTGAGGGTAAAGGAGACAGTAGTGAGAGAGTCTGAAGGTAAAGGAGACAGTAGTGAGAGAGTCTGAAGGTAAAGGAGACAGTAGTGAGAGAGTCTGAAGGTAAAGGAGAGAGTAGTGAGAGAGTCTGAAGGTAAAGGAGACAGTAGTGAGAGAGTCTGAAGGTAAAGGAGACAGTAGTGAGAGAGTCTGAAGGTAAAGGAGACAGTAGTGAGAGAGTCTGAAGGTAAAGGAGACAGTAGTGAGAGAGTCTGAAGGTAAAGGAGACAGTAGTGAGAGAGTCTGAAGGTAAAGGAGAGAGTAGTGAGAGAGTCTGAGGGTAAAGGAGACAGTAGTGAGAGAGTCTGAAGGTAAAGGAGACAGTAGTGAGAGAGTCTGAAGGTAAAGGAGACAGTAGTGAGAGAGTCTGAAGGTAAAGGAGACAGTAGTGAGAGAGTCTGAAGGTAAAGGAGACAGTAGTGAGAGAGTCTGAAGGTAAAGGAGACAGTAGTGAGAGAGTCTGAAGGTAAAGGAGACAGTAGTGAGAGAGTCTGAAGGTAAAGGAGACAGTAGTGAGAGGAGACAATAGAGCTCTGACTGCAGACGCTGCTCCCTCTTTACCACAACAGTCTTTATCTCATTAATCACAAATATGTAACTGTCCTTACCTTAGGTCGAGACATTGTGCAGGTCACAGGTCAGAGGTCACAGGTCTGAAACACAGAGGAGTTAGAATGTGACCCTGTGCTCCTCAGAGTCCCAGCAGGAGGCCAGTCCCTGTGCTCCTCAGAGTCCCAGCAGGAGTCCAGTCCCTGTGCTCCTCAGAGTCCCAGCAGGAGTCCAGTCCCTGTGCTCCTCAGAGTCCCAGCAGGAGTCCAGTCCCTGTGCTCCTCAGAGTCCCAGCAGGAGTCCAGTCCCTGTGCTCCTCAGAGTTGGATAATATGACACTAACATGTCAGAGATTTACTTTGGTACAAGGTCATGGAGACCTGAGACCAGGACTAATGTGAGAGGACTTCAGGACAGAGACCTGAGACCAGGACTAATGTGAGAGGACTTCAGGACAGAGACCTGAGACCAGGACTAATGTGAGAGGACTTCAGGACAGAGACCTGAGACCAGGACTAATGTGAGAGGACATCAGGACAGAGACCTGAGACCAGGACTAATGTGAGAGGACTTCAGGACAGAGACCTGAGACCAGGACTAATGTGAGAGGACTTCAGGACAGAGACCTGAGACCAGGACTAATGTGAGAGGACTTCAGGACAGAGACCTGAGACCAGGACTAATGTGAGAGGACTTCAGGACAGAGACCTGAGACCAGGACTAATGTGAGAGGACTTCAGGACAGAGACCTGACCTGAGACCAGGACTAATGTGAGAGGACTTCAGGACAGAGACCTGAGACCAGGACTAATGTGAGAGGACTTCAGGACAGAGACCTGAGACCAGGACTAATGTGAGAGGACTTCAGGACAGAGACCTGAGACCAGGACTAATGTGAGAGGACTTCAGGACAGAGACCTGAGACCAGGACTAATGTGAGAGGACTTCAGGACAGAGACCTGAGACCAGGACTAATGTGAGAGGACTTCAGGACAGAGACCTGAGACCAGGACTAATGTGAGAGGACTTCAGGACAGAGACCTGAGACCAGGACTAATGTGAGAGGACTTCAGGACAGAGACCTGGGACCAGGACTAATGTGAGAGGACTTCAGGACAGAGACCTGAGACCAGGACTAATGTGAGAGGACTTCAGGACAGAGACCTGAGACCAGGACTAATGTGAGAGGACTTCAGGACAGAGACCTGAGACCAGGACTAATGTGAGAGGACTTCAGGACAGAGACCTGAGACCAGGACTAATGTGAGAGGACTTCAGGACAGAGACCTGAGACCAGGACTAATGTGAGAGGACTTCAGGACAGAGACCTGAGACCAGGACTAATGTGAGAGGACTTCAGGACAGAGACCTGAGACCAGGACTAATGTGAGAGGACTTCAGGACAGAGACCTGAGACCAGGACTAATGTGAGAGGACTTCAGGACAGAGACCTGAGACCAGGACTAATGTGAGAGGACTTCAGGACAGAGACCTGAGACCAGGACTAATGTGAGAGGACTTCAGGACAGAGACCTGAGACCAGGACTAATGTGAGAGGACTTCAGGACAGAGACCTGAGACCAGGACTAATGTGAGAGGACTTCAGGACAGAGACCTGAGACCAGGACTAATGTGAGAGGACTTCAGGACAGAGACCTGAGACCAGGACTAATGTGGGAGGACTTCAGGACAGAGACCTGAGACCAGGACTAATGTGAGAGGACTTCAGGACAGAGACCTGAGACTAGGACTAATGTGGGAGGACTTCAGGACAGAGACCTGAGACCAGGACTAATGTGAGAGGACTTCAGGACAGAGACCTGGGACCAGGACTAATGTGAGAGGACTTCAGGACAGAGACCTGAGACCAGGACTAATGTGAGAGGACTTCAGGACAGAGACCTGAGACCAGGACTAATGTGAGAGGACTTCAGGACAGAGACCTGAGACCAGGACTAATGTGAGAGGACTTCAGGACAGAGACCTGAGACCAGGACTAATGTGAGAGGACTTCAGGACAGAGACCTGAGACCAGGACTAATGTGAGAGGACTTCAGGACAGAGACCTGGGACCAGGACTAATGTGAGAGGACTTCAGGACAGAGACCTGAGACCAGGACTAATGTGAGAGGACTTCAGGACAGAGACCTGAGACCAGGACTAATGTGAGAGGACTTCAGGACAGAGACCTGAGACCAGGACTAATGTGAGAGGACTTCAGGACAGAGACCTGAGACCAGGACTAATGTGAGAGGACTTCAGGACAGAGACCTGAGACCAGGACTAAGAGGACACCTGGTCTCTGTCGTTTAGTTAAAATAGAAACAGAAAGAATGAATGATTCTGATTGGAACTGTTCTTTAACGCTGCCCTGGGGCAGACTGACGTATCAGAGGCTGCCAATCTGACACACAGACACACACACACACACACACAGACACACACAGACACACACAGACACACACAGACACACACACACACACAGACACAGACACACACACACAGACACACACACACACACACACACACAGACACACACACACACACACAGACACAGACACAGACACACACACACACACACACACACACAGACACACACACACACACACAGACACACACACATACACAGACACACGGACACACACAGACACACACACACACACAGACACACACACACACACAGACACACACACAGACACACACACACACACACAGACACACGGACACACACAGACACACACACACACAGACAGACACACACACACACACACACACACACACACAGACACACACACAGACACACACACACACACACACAGACACACACACACACACACACAGACACACACACACACACAGACACACGGACACACACAGACACACACACACACAGACAGACACACACACACACACACACACAGACACACACACAGACACACACACACACACACACAGTATCTGTCCTGAAGTTCTCTCACAGTATGACCAGCAGGAGCAGAGACCAGCAGGAGCAGAGACCAGTAGGAGAGAGACCAGCAGGAGCAGAGACCAGCAGGAGCAGAGACCAGTAGGAGAGAGACCAGCAGGAGCAGAGACCAGCAGGAGCAGAGACCAGTAGGAGAGAGACCAGCAGGAGCAGAGACCAGCAGGAGCAGAGACCAGTAGGAGAGAGACCAGCAGGAGCAGAGACCAGCAGGAGCAGAGACCAGTAGGAGAGAGACCAGCAGGAGCAGAGACCAGCAGGAGCAGAGACCAGTAGGAGAGAGACCAGCAGGAGCAGAGACCAGCAGGAGCAGAGACCAGTAGGAGAGAGACCAGCAGGAGCAGAGACCAGTAGGAGAGAGACCAGCAGGAGCAGAGACCAGCAGGAGCAGAGACCAGCAGGAGCAGAGACCAGTAGGAGAGAGACCAGCAGGAGCAGAGACCAGCAGGAGCAGACACCAGTAGGAGAGAGACCAGCAGGAGCAGAGACCAGCAGGAGCAGAGACCAGCAGGAGCAGAGACCAGTAGGAGAGAGACCAGCAGGAGCAGAGACCAGCAGGAGCAGAGACCAGTAGGAGAGAGACCAGCAGGAGCAGAGACCAGTAGGAGAGAGACCAGCAGGAGCAGAGACCAGCAGGAGCAGAGACCAGCAGGAGCAGAGACCAGTAGGGGAGAGACCAGCAGGAGCAGAGACCAGCAGGAGCAGAGACCAGTAGGAGAGAGACCAGCAGGAGCAGACACCAGCAGGAGCAGAGACCAGCAGGAGCAGAGACCAGTAGGAGAGAGACCAGCAGGAGCAGAGACCAGCAGGAGCAGAGACCAGTAGGAGAGAGACCAGCAGGAGCAGACACCAGCAGGAGCAGAGACCAGCAGGAGCAGAGACCAGTAGGAGAGAGACCAGCAGGAGCAGAGACCAGCAGGAGCAGAGACCAGTAGGAGAGAGACCAGCAGGAGCAGAGACCAGCAGGAGCAGAGACCAGCAGGAGCAGAGACCAGTAGGAGAGAGACCAGCAGGAGCAGAGACCAGCAGGAGCAGAGACCAGTAGGAGAGAGACCAGCAGGAGCAGACACCAGCAGGAGCAGAGACCAGCAGGAGCAGAGACCAGTAAGAGAGAGACCAGCAGGAGCAGAGACCAGCAGGAGCAGAGACCAGCAGGAGCAGAGACCAGTAGGAGAGAGACCAGCAGGAGCAGAGACCAGCAGGAGCAGAGACCAGTAGGAGCAGAGACCAGTAGGAGAGAGACCAGTAGGAGAGAGACCAGCAGGAGCAGACACCAGCAGGAGCAGAGACCAGCAGGAGCAGAGACCAGTAAGAGAGAGACCAGCAGGAGCAGAGACCAGCAGGAGCAGAGACCAGTAGGAGCAGAGACCAGCAGGCTACATTCTGAGCATGTGTGAACAGGAGAGGGCCGCACCTTCTGTCCACATGTCTCACAAACAAACTCAGCACACTGCCAGGACATGTTTATACATTCATCTACTGCTGCAATCTCTCTCTGGTCTCTCTCTCTGGTCTCTCTCTGGTCTCTCTCTGGTCTCTCTCTCTGGTCTCTCTCTCTGGTCTCTCTCTGGTCTCTCTCTGGTCCCTCTCTCTGGTCTCTCTCTGGTCTCTCTCTGGTCCCTCTCTCTGGTCTCTCTCTGGTCTCTCTCTGGTCTCTCTCTGGTCTCTCTCTGGTCTCTCTCTGGTCTCTCTCTCTGGTCTCTCTCTTTGGTCTCTCTCTCTGGTCTCTCTCTGGTCTCTCTCTGGTCTCTCTCTCTGGTCCCTCTCTCTGGTCTCTCTCTGGTCTCTCTCTGGTCTCTCTCTGGTCTCTCGCTCTGGTCTCTCTCTGGTCTCTCTCTGGTCTCTCTCTCTGGTCTCTCTCTGGTCTCTCTCTGGTCTCTCTCTGGTCTCTCTCTGGTCTCTCTCTGGTCTCTCTCTGGTCTCTCGCTCTGGTCTCTCTCTGGTCTCTCTCTGGTCTCTCTCTGGTCTCTCTCTGGTCTCTCGCTCTGGTCTCTCGCTCTGGTCTCTCTCTGGTCTCTCTCTGGTCTCTCTCTGGTCTCTCTCTGGTCTCTCTCTGGTCTCTCTCTGGTCTCTCTCTCTGGTCTCTCTCTG